AGTGAGTCAGTAGAGCCTGGGCTAAAACAGGCTATGTCATGAAATAACCCCTTGATAAAACTGAGCCATTAGCACGAGTGGTGGACAAACTAACGTTAGCTGTTTGCAATATTATGGTGACAACACTGGAAATAATAATAATAATAATTGCACGCTTTGCTCTATGACTGCGTCAGTTTTGCCTTGATACATTTATGAGCGCGGACCACGTTAGTTTGCGAGTACTCTCAGTACCCTCCCTCGGAACAGTTTACACGTTGTGCACAACTGGCTGGCTGACAATTATCAGATCTTTTGTGTCTTTTAATGCGTCTTTTTTAATGCGTCTCGTTGTTATTGAAATTGAGAACATTATTTTGTGAACCATGCAACAGTGAGTCAGCTGGGAGTATTCTTGTTTTGTTAATTTATTAGGCTGTAGGGGGAATATAGTGTATTTTTCGGACCAGACAAAAAATGAACGGTTCGTTTAAAAGACCCGACTCAAAAGATCCGATTCATGTGGAAGTGCAACATTGGCCCTGTCCCAAATGACTTAAATTGCGCGTGCTCGCCGAGTCTACGAGTAGGCCGTCCCATTTAGCATTTTAAAATGCTTCAAGGGTACAAAGGGGGCGCTGCTGAGCACACTTCAGAGCGTTAAACGCCCCCTTTGTACCCTTGAAGCGGTCTTCCGCGAAGCCCGCATAAGATGCAGGCTCCACGCACTTTAACTACCCAGGAATCCTTGCGAAAGGCCAATCAGACAACGGATGGGACGGGACGAGATTTCGCTCACAGACAATTGTTAACATGGCTGAGAAGAAAATATTTAAGTGTAATTATCATTACGGTTTTTATGACAAGTTTATACAAACATTATGATCATCGACCAGTGGTTGATGTCTCAAACATATAGGCTAATAATAGCGAGCTGAATAATACGATCGCATTATGATTCATTAAATAAATAGAACAGAATGTCAGGGCTTTACTGAGTCATATGTAAACACAACAACAATAGGCAGCATATTTCCCCGCTCCTGTCCATAACAACCATAGACTGTAAATAACAACAATCAGACCGTCTTCCTGTTTCCGGCGTGACGATCGAGTCTGTCCCAAAAATACCTCTCAATGCGCCCTCGCGGACTCGCGCTAAGGGCCCTATAGGTCTGCACTACATGACGTCACCGAAGTGTGGACTCTGAGGAAGTCCGTGGCTGCGTTCCAAACCGCATACTCAATGAGTAGGTACTTAATTTCAATGAGTACTTACTCAACGAGCGCTAAAAGAGTAGGTACTTTATAGCCAGATCTCGTTGAGTATGAATGCGAACCGGACATCTGCCATGTTGATGTTATCATGTTACCTACGACGCGTTATCACACGCGCAACAACTTAAAAGATTTGAACGACACGTTTAATTCATCTATCTGTAAATATCTTGATATTGATTAAACTTGCTAATTTTGTGGTCTTTTTGAAGAAACTGCTGCCCATTTACTTTGTAAATACATTTAGGGTTGATTTAAGTTCTTATATTTAACCCTACTAATGTGACCCACCGTTTTATACTTAACGATATTATTTATTTTTATTACAAAATCCCAAAATTGTCATCTCTTGAATATGTTATTAATTTCTTTATTTTATATCCAAACATTTTCATCCACAAGCAAAAAGTGCTTACTGCTTTGTTTTGCTCTTTTTCTTGTTGAATTTAACTCTCGTTTCATCCTTAGGCCTATAAATTACAAAAAATGCATTTTTTAAATGTATTATAATTAATTATTTAAGAAAATATATTTTAAGATATTCAACCCTGTAGGTTCTTTTTTCCTGTCTATAAAATCTTATATGCAAACCCATGATATATATATATATATATATACCTCACAAGTTATAACATCAGTAATTCGACAGCCCTACCTAGAACGGGTTTCCTCAGCGTTTGTAATGTCTGCACAAAGGGCAGCTGTGTGAAGATTCACCTTTAGAGAAAACTGTTGATTTTATACTGGAAAAATTTAAGTATCATTAATATTAAAAATGTATATTACCCCAGAATGAATTGCATTGCTCTCACCCCCAAAACATACAATAATAACAACGATAAATGCTGACCAATACTTAATTATATTACTTTTTACTGAAAATATAATTCAATAAAACAAACAAAATGTAATGTCATATGACATAGCTATGGTTGAATACACTCTAGATGTGTATATAGTGAACATATGTACATTTTCATTCAAACAATTAAATAAAGCATTAATTAAATAATATTTTATTTACTGACAACAATGAGAAATATTAATAAATTAGTAAAAGAATGAATGAAAGTCACCATCACACAATAAACAAATGCATAAGTCAACACATGAAACAAAGCTTTATTCAAACTACAATCATGTATGTAGGCTAGGCGCTGAACCACATCCTTCTGCCGTCTCAACACAGCGGTTCCCATTCTGCGGCTTTATTCTGATGAATCAGCTGACCGCCAGAGGTGAGCCGTGCCTTCGTGGCTGAGGTTGTTGCGTGATGAGTTGTGCTTCACAATCTGAGGCAATAAGAGTAGGTGGAGTGATGGAGGGTCTCGTAAGGGCACCATCTACAGGATTCAGCTCTGGACTCCTCATCCTCAGTGCTCACACCAGCCTGCTGACATTTCAGATCCTACAAAAATGCACAAACATAACACAAAAGCAGTCATTTTAACCGCACAATGTCATTTGATTTCAGTATTATTTTTTTAGAAGACAAAAACGCTTTTTTTCACAAATGCCGCCATCATCTTTCCTTGCAGGTCCTGCTCCACCACAAAAGATCTGCAGCAAATGCACAGAAATCAAGAATCAGAAAAGTGCTGTAATAGCTCTGTTTGAAATTACAATAATTAAAATAAACTACAACTTAATATTGAAATAGTTGTTGTTATTCATTTCTGTAGTGTCACTCAAAGCATTTGATGGCAGCATTCAGCTTCATGATCTCTCCACCGGATAAACACACACATCTGTTCATCTGTCCCTGTAACATCCAGACAAGATTCACATTACCTCTGTGATTTATGAGCTCAACAACACTACATTTACATGTTGAGGTTGTTTTAACTTTTTATCCAACATAAATGTTCCTCAATTTATCAACAGTAATGGACAAATAAAATAAATAACTTATGTTTAGTTACTTTACAGATTTGTTCTACATAATAGCACACATACATCACTCAGGAGTCTATTTCATGTTGTGATGTGCTCTTCTGCAATACTTACTGAAGATTTTCCTGTCAGATGTAAATAGACATTTAAAATAAAAGTCTTTAAGATGTATATGGTTTATGTAAATCCACGTTAGAGACGTAACTTACGTGTCCTTACTGAAGCTCCCCTGTTAGCTAACGTTATACATAAAACGTGTTTTTACAGCAAAATCACAACTATACCATACCGTGTAACGTCTTTACACCTTCAACAATTCAACAGTTTACTCTACAGTAGTTCAACACATGCAATTTTAACACAAGGAACCGTGTTTACTCACATTTGAAAGCACCCGCGTTGCCGATCTCTACGATGTTTGATAATGACGTATCCTCTCGCGTGGCCTCCTGGGATAGAAGAGTATCCATCGGTTGAGCACTCGAAAATCTGTCCGGAAGCAGTAAGCCATCCGGGAACCTCTCGCCTACTCTTTTATGAATACTGATGTTTCGAACGTACTGCTTCCTTCACGTACTGTTTTCGCCTACTATATAGTAGGAAAGTAGGCATATTCGAACGCACTTAAGTCCGAATCTCGCGATAATTAGTACGTCACCCAGGTAATTCTCGCCTACTCTTTTGGATTCATACATACTTTTTCGCTCGCCTACTCTTTTTCCCATACTAAATAGTAGGGAAGTATGCGGTTTGGAACGCAGCCCCTAAGTCCGGAGTGTGCCATTTGGGACAGGGCCATTTCTGGATGTAAACACCAAGGAGGAGGAAGAAGAAGAAGAAGATCCGGTTCGTCGGAAGTGAGACACCGTTAATGTGGACGTAAGCCCTTTTCGGACGGTAATTGTTTCTCATGTCTACGTCTGTAAAAAATAAATTTGCATGGCACCTCAGTGATAAACGGATGGCGATTTATACGCTGATTTCACGCAGCCGTTATTTTGAAATCGAAAGCGAGGCTCCGGTGGGAAGTAAACCGGAAGTGCCGCCTTTAAGGAGAGTCGCGAATGCGATGGCGTATTGTTGTGTTTAATGTAGAAATTAATTATTCTAAAACTGTACATACATTTCTTTAATACTTTAGACTATATACAGTGAAATTCATTTATAAATAAAATTATTTTTAATATATATAATTCAGAACGTAAAAAAAGAAGCAGGAACGAACTATATTGGATATTATTATTTTTTTCTCTCTTATTTCTGTTCGCTGAGGTGGAGCGGTGATGAAATATTGTTCTTGTAAATAAATACTTTCCAGCATTTAATGCATGCAAATTACAGTGAAACGAGCGGTGATCAAAAGGGATTTAAATAGTGAATTTTGAAGTGATCTCTTCTTTTAAACTCATTTAAATTCGGACGGCAATACCATTGGTGTAAAAACAGTAATTCGGCCGGGGATTTTTACGCGGGTGGTGGAAGAAAAACCTCTGGATTCGGATTGCAATAAAATCACCGACTAACTCCTGTAATGTGGAAATGTACGACCCCATGAGAATTATACCGTCCGAATAGGCCTATACCCCCTTAAACCACTGAGTTAATATACAGTTAACGTTCAAATAAGAGAATTATTAATAATAATATAAGAGAATTATAAATTATTAACCTCTGCCTGTACAACGTCCACCCCACGATCCACCTGTTTCACGTCGATATGGTCATTCTACCCGCATGTATTTTTTTACTACAAGATCTGTCGATTGCATAGTGCGCGTGCACTTTAAGTAGATGTTCTCTTCTGCATTATTTAGATGGACCTTTAGAGTAGTGTTTCGACAACGGAGACTTGGATTAAACAAAACTCGGTAAACACACAGTTACACTCCGGTTTGTTTTGTGTTGTGTTGATTTGTGTTGGCTTACCTACAGTAACGTAATATCTCAGAATATGGTGGAGCGCGCGCTAGTCTAACACATTTTTAATGGGAAAACCCTATATGAAACATTATTGCGTAATAACTATCCAAAGTTCCTCCGACAGATAAACTGACTCCTCTTACAGATACCGAGAGCTCGCGACTGCTTCAGACAGCTTTAAAGAAACTCACACGAACGTCTGCCACTTCACTACAGGTAAGATATCCTGCAGAGTCCTCATTCATGTACTTGTTACTAATCGGTCATTTGGCTGACATGTTTATCCTAAGTGTCTAACAATACTTTTATGAAGTGTCTTGCTCAAGGGCACAAAGCCATGTGGATTTTGAATGTACAACTTTCACCAGCCTGGACAATCCGGATACACAACCAATTGTTGTTAAACTAAATTACTTTTGTTCTCATATCTTTGTGCAGAAGTCAGCATGAAGAAATTGCTTGTGGATGTGGACTGTGGTGTGGATGATGCTCAGGCTCTCATGATGGCTTTGGCAGTTCCGGATGTACAGATCCTGGGCATCACCTGTGTTCAGGGCAACACTTCAATAGAAAATGTCTGCAAGAATGTCTTGCGTGTCCTGAAAGTGTGTAATCATCTGAAGGTGAGATATGCTTAGAAAAAGGGGTGTGGTAGATTTTTTCTTCTTTCGCACCTGACTTAAATTTATCCTCCAATCGACACCCAATAATCTTTATACTCTAGCTCTGCGTCTACAGTCGACAACTGGCTTCGAGTTCGGACGTCATCTCGTCCCTTTCCCTTTAACACTATCAAAGTGTCAAGTAAGCTTCACTAACTAACTTGCTGCGCTGCATTAACTAGACAGACTACAGACAATGCCTTAGAATATGCTTTAATCACAGCCGGAGGATCTCAGCCAAATTTCAGAGAGAATCCCCCCAGCAAAAAGAATACAACCGTTTTAATAGAATAGGAGCATTGCAAAAATGACATGATACATTACATGATTTCCCTACAATTTCATTGGTTCTTCATATGCAAACCCTTCTGTTACTTGGTAGAAGCAAACTTGGATCTCAAATCATACAAAAAAAAATGGAAAAGAAGTTCAGTTGTTTACTCAATATGTCATGAGACTATTCTAGAATGTTATATTTTTGCAGCATCTCAGAATTTTCCACTGGTTTCGACACAGAGTACATTTTGTTCAAATGTTAGAATGTTAGGCCTAAAGGAGAGAAGTAAGATTAGATGTTAGAATTATTATTAGTATAAAATACAGTTTACTATTTTATTTATTAAAAAAATCCATCACAGTGGTCAGCATTTTGACTTTTAAGTATTGTGCAGTGATTTCATTAAATGACCTGGACCAAGTATTGAAGTCGGCATTAAATGGAAGTCACGATAGTCTTTTCTTCGTTATTGTGACGTATATCAGAGCAGGGTTGCGATGTCTGGGTATCAAAACTAGCCCAATGGCCAAACAAAAATAGCTCAAAAGTAGCCCATTGACCGTATCCCAAATACAAAAAAATATGCCTCTCCCATATCTAAAATATTTTTCAGTCACTGTTATGCAAATATGAACACCACTTGATTGTATCGTAGTGATCATGAACACAGCTTATCAAGCACAGTTTTATCATTGGTAGAATATAAAATATTTCAATACAAGCAATTCAGTCAAATATTATTTATGCAATATGTCAAACCTTTGACTCAAGGGGGGGAAAAATTAACCCACGGCAGGAGTTTAAAATTAACCCAATTTCACAAGTCAAGTCATCTTCATTTATATAGCGCTTTTAACAATGTAGATTGTTCCAAAGCTGCTTTACAGTGATAATAGGAAATTAAAGAAGATTGTTTTGGCTTTATGACAGCTCTAGAATAAAGTTATTTTCCAGCTAAAGTTAGTTTTAATTGATTCACTTCTGTCGCAACGATCATTAGTTATTAACTTAGGGGCCGCTTACACAACACTGTTTAGTTCTCTATACGGCAACCTTAAAAACGCGAACCTGTGAGAACGCTGATGGCGTGCACATGCGTATTAAGAGTTTATTCTATAGGTATGCGCGTTTGAATATATGTGCGCCGGCATGTAGTCCTTCCCTAAAAACCAACCCTTAACAAACTACTTGTCTGACCTTAAAATTTATAATACAGAATTCTATTGCTTCGGTGTAGCCACGTGAACCGGAATTATCCTGACATCAATTATCTGTACAGAGGTAAAGGGAAGGAGGCCTTCACAGGGGAGGGACAGGAAAAACAAATTGCGGACTCTGCAACTCTGTAAACAAGTGAAATGGCTACTTGAACAAGAAAAAATTAAGGGCGGGACTTGATTTTGTCCAACGGTAATGGGGGTTATGCACAACAAACTTCCGTATTCTGAAAATCAGGTCTCCTCGGTTCCGGTTCAGGTCTCTTGTATGTGCTTCCTGGGTTAGTTCACCTAAACATTTTTTTTAAATTCCATTAATTACTCACCCTCATGTCGTTTCAGACCCGTTAGACTTTTGTTCATCTTTGGAACACAAATGAAGATCTTTTTGTTAAAATCTGAGAGCTTTCTGTCCCTCCTAGACAGAACTACTTTGAAGCTTCAAAAAGTACATAAAGAGATTGTTAAACTAATCCATATGAATTGAACGGTTTAGTCCAAAAATTTTAAAGAGATTTGATCGCTTTATTTGATGAACAGATTGAATTCAAGCTTTTATTCACATATAAATATTCATCTGCTCAACGTGCGAGAACCAATGAGGTTCATTCTCATGTCAAGCAGGTTCGGTTGAGCTTGTGTTTACGTTCGCTGATCAATGTTTACATGTAAATAAATGCCTAAATTCAATCTGTTCATCATAAAAAGTGATCGAGTCTCTTCAGAAAAATTGAACTTGCGTTATATGACATGAGGGTGAGTAAATAATGACAGAATTTTCATTTTTGGGTAAACTAACCCTTTAAATATAGAGCCGTTTTGCTCTAGATACCTTTAAAGGAGCGAGCAAAGACGAGCATAACAATGTTCTTCACATATGCAGGTTGATATCTAAAAGTTTTTTATTTTGTTTTTCTCACTAACATTTAGATATTTAAATCAAATTAAATGGCAACAATAAAAATAACTAGCTAGTTTAGCTAATTGCCTTGAAAGTCCATTGATTTCGCCGTCAGATCGTAATGGTCAAAAAAAGGTCCATTTTGATTTCATGGATTTTCAAGGAAGTCAATAGGCAAGTTTTTGATTGCATATTGGCTTTGAAATTCCAATACTAGCTCCTTGTTGTCAGTTATTTATTTAGTAAATAAGAGGTTTAGTAAATAGTAAAGCAGAGGTTTTTCAAAGAGCTTATACTTTGACCCATTAGTATGTCCTACAAGTATTGTGCAATGATTGCATAACTCTGACAACCTGCAAAAATTGGTGAACCATTCTGCTTAGCACTATCAAAGGGACTCATGAACAACCAGCTCAAAAGAAAAAAAAATCATGGATCATCTAGGTAATGACACGGCATTAAGAATCAAGCATATGTGAACTTTTGAACTGGTTTATTTTTTTTAATTCAGCTATATTTAGTCTTGTGCACTGTTACGACCCTTCACTGTTTTTTAAAGTCTAGGGAATTAGAAGGGGAACATCAGGCCACCCTTAAGCAGTTGTTACCATTATAATACTGGGAGAGTGAATAAGACCATCGAGAAGCAGCAGAACATGTAAACAAATTCATTATGTGCAATGATCGGCCAAGAATATTATATATATAAATATATATATAAAATGCAAAGTATTATGTAGCACATGACTCATTTCACTATTATTGAACTTGATTATCTCTGAATTGGAAAAGTGGTCCAGACTTGATGGAAGTGATAAACAGTGTTACAGAAATCATTGCATTGTGATTGTTTTTCAAAGGGATTTCTTTATGTTCAGAAATATATTCTGTTATAATTCTAGCTGTTTGTATAGATATTTTGAGCTTAAATTGCTGTGCAGTAAGAAAAGTTACTCAGAGTTATGTATTGTTATCCAGCACATGACAGCCATTTACAACAAAATCAGAAAAACTGATTGTGTCTCTGAATTGTTAGATTCCTGTATTTCGTGGAGCGACTAAAGCGCTCTTGGGGCAAACCATCAGTGCTGGAGATTTTCATGGCAAAGATGGACTCGGGGACGCCCCAGACCCCCAAGCTCCTGGGCTGGAACTGGTCCAGAAAGAGGGCGCTGTGTCAGCCATGATCCGAATAGTCGATGAGAATCCTGGAGAGGTCTATATGATTCTACAGTAGCAAATATTTGAAATAACATGCATTTCAAGTATTTTACCATGTGTTGTTCCTGCTTCTCTAAGGTGTCTTTAGTGGCCACGGCTCCGCTGACGAATGTGGCTTTGGCGGTGAAACTGGACCCCTCCTTTCCCAAGAAACTCAAAGGCCTTTACATTATGGGTGGCAATACAGACTGTGAGTCCCTAAACCGTACTGTTTTATCAGAAAAGGATGGGTCAATATATCCAATATTAGAGCTGTTAAGTTTAATTTATTTCAAGTTTAATGTGACCGCTTTGATAAATTGGTTCAAAGTATATGTCTAAAGTCAACGTTTTTTTTTAAAAACAGACTTTTACTTGGCACAGTGATGGCTTCTCTCAATGAAATAAATCGAAATGGTCACAATTTACTAAAAATGAATCAAGGCCTTTAAGCCATGTCAACGCACAAATATAATGTAGACAAACACTACCAGTCAAACGTTTGTAATAATTAAGATTTTTGAATGTTTTTGAACAAGATGTTCTCTTATTCTCACCAAGGCTGCATTTATTTGTTCAAAAATACAGTAAAAACAGTAATATTGTGAACTATTACAATTTAAAACTATTTTCTTTTTGATTTTAAAATGTAATTTATTCCTGAATTTCCTGTAATGGTAAAACAGACATCATTTTGTTGTCACCAGAAGAGTATATTTTTCAAAAGGATGAATAGTACTTTTATTTTATGCAATGCAATATTGCCCAGCCCTTAACCAGAATCATGTGCCCCTTAGTAAATCTACATTCAAACATTATAATCAGTCTGATCTGTATTGCTGGTCTTCTATATTAATATTTTTCATGCAATTTAAGCAGGTTAGAAAAATAACCGCCGCTTCTCTTTAGCTCGTGGGAACACCACTGTGTGTGCAGAGTTCAACTTTGCAGCTGATCCTGAAGCAGCTTATATTGTCCTGAAAGAATTCATTTGCCCAATTTACATTGCAACCTGGGAGTTCACCTGTAACAGTAAATTACCATGGGTGAGATACTCATGTCTTTAAAAAATATATAACAACCTAAATAGATGATTATGTATAATGTAAATGCAACTGTTGGTGTTTATACATTCTTGTATACACAGCATCCGTGTCATATAATATCCGCGCATGTCTGTTTCAGGATTTCTGTGACGGTTGGCTGGCCCAGGACACAGATAAGGCTCGCTTTATGAAGCAGATCTTTAAGCACAGCATGGAGTCCAGCCACAGCGAGAGGGTTGAGAAGGAGCTGGTGGCGGGGCAGGGATTCATCTCCTGTGATTCTTATGCTATGGCAGCAGCCATAGACCACACATATATTGTTGAAACCGACACCAAAGCGGTCACTGTGGAGCTGGCGGGGAACTACTGCCGGGGAATGATGGTTGTAGATCACCTCGACCTTCTGAAGACGACTCACAAAGTCAAGATCTTGAAGAAGGTGGATTTGGAGAAGTTTAAAGTGCTCATGATGAATGCTTTGAAATAAATGTTCGTTGGCAGCCATGATGTCTATAATTGCATGATGTTATTACGGTACTAGATTATTCTTTATAAACATTTGTTGACAATTTTTTGATACTGGCTACATTCCCTCATCAGTGTAACACATTTAATTAAATCCTTTTTTTTTACTCAAATCATTTGTCAATCGTTTTGGATGACATACACCTTTTTAATGAAATATAAATTTTGATAAGTAAACTACTATTGAATATTGTTCTCGTTTGTGGATGCAGTGATTAAATGAGAGATCATTCAGAACTGGAAAGACATTTTATTCGATGAATTCTGATGTTGGTGCACTCATGGGCATCATGATTGATTTTCCACAAGAAAAATGTGCTTAAAAAGCAGAATATTTACAAGATTGAAAGCTTTTTCTTATGTCTTGGCATCTTCATACAAAACACAGTGTTATTCAGTCTCCCTTTCTGCCTCTGAATCGAGATCGGGTGTCCAGCTGTAATAAAAAAAAAGACATGTTAGCATGTACACTTGGCCATAGTTTAGTTGGACTAGAACAGAGCTATTAAACTAAATGAAATCAAATTGGTCTGAATACAGTGGCACACAGTAATTTAAACCACACACACACAAAAAAACTTATTGTGGTAGCACTACATAGGGTTATTTTAGTTACAGTAGCTGGGTAATATAAGGTAACCACATGGGTTAGGTTCAGGGTTAGTACCTACCTATTACCCAGTTATTGTATTGCTATAAAAAAATACATTGTATGTATGCAGAAAAGGACTGTAAAATAAAGTACTCCCAAAATGTTAATTGAAACAAAATAAATCTAAAACAACTTGAACTTATGTTGCTTTGGCAACTACCTGAAATAAAATTGTATTCATTTTGTTTAATAATTATAATAGTGTCTCAAAGATACTAAAATAATCTGTACCACAGTACAAATGCTAATAATGTGGTACCGAAGGATTAACACATTTTAATGGTATTCCAAGGTGGCCGCCATTTAAAAGTTTATACTTCAACAATGAATTGGTGTAGAACTAGAAACATAATTATGTCTGAGTATGATTTCATTAAGAAAAATCTACATGTACTATATATATTCAAACGCATCAAATCAAGAGCTTATGAATCAGAATATTAAATTGATTTGTGAAATCTGTGTCGATACCCAGCCCCAAAGGACTATCAAATTACTTTTTTCCCTAAGCAGTTCAGAAGAGGATATTGGAAACTGACCATGGATCTCTTGCACTCAAAGAAAGCCACCTGCAAGCCTTTGCAATGTCCTTCCTTCAGACACTCACTGGGCTTCTTACCTTCCTGTGGACACAACAGAGACCAGCACAGACTTAGACACAGCTGGGGGGAAATATCGGTTTACGTTCTGCCAGTGAGCTTTAGGTATTTTGTAGGTCTTGCTACTGACTGCACTTTTTTATTAACAGTAACTTTTGAACTTGGTGTGTACACCACACCAGACATCAGAATGGTATTAAGGAATCAAAATCAAAATGTGTAAAAACAAACACCTAGTATGTCATTCAGTGGCCCCAGATAGCAAACGTACGTCTGCGAGATGTCTGTTAAAGACCACTTAATCTGGAAAGCAACTGCTGTTTACTAACATCTGATAGACGTCTTTAAGATGTCAGTTTTACATGCATTCTAAATCACAAACATCTTAACCCTTTCATGTATGAATTATGATAACCTCAACTGTTTTTTCTTTCTTTCTGTGTTTTTATTGCTCTTAGGGCATGAAAAACAAGATTTGAAATTTCGAAATTCAAGATTTTTTTTACACACATTTTTAAAGAGATTTTCAAAAGTCCACTTGAGTGGACATGACAGCATGCATTTATGGTTTAAATTTAAGAGATACTGTATTAAACATAATACATAAAGCAATAGAGTGTGTATTATAACTAACAAATCAATAAAATTATATAAAATCATGTGAAAACTATAAAATATGAACAAAAAATATAAATGCGAAATATCGCAAAGGCAATTGATCTTCATACAAGTTGAATTCGCGATCGAGACACAATGGCTTGCCGCTTGGTGGCAATGTATAGATGATGCACCAGGGTCACGGTAGAATTGATGTGCAACTATGCCATTAAAACCCTTGCAAATGCAAGAAAATGCTTTTTGAATAGCTGTCCACGGTAGTGATCTCTATGCATGAAATGGTTAAAGACATGTTCTAAACTTCTATTTGACATCTGAAAGAAAACGTCCTATAGACGTAGCCTATTGCAGATGAGCAAACACTGAAAAATACGTATTCCAGATGTAAACACGCACATCAAATAGACGACTCCGTGATGTACGTGTATTGTCATTAAAAAAACATTCGCTCAAACCAAATTAATTCAATTATTTAGACCATTATGTTTATGTAATTGTGATATTGTACAACTACTATAGTTTCCATGTTTTAAATTGTGAGTTTTGTATATCACCCAATATAACAGGAATTATCCATATCTTGTGCAAAAGGAATAAAATCATGACATAGATCTGTGTTGTGATATGCATGGTGATATATGACGCTGATGTTACCTTCACTACACAGTCATGCTGAAGGAGACAGGCTTTGAAATCCTCTCTTACTCCAGCGCAGGCGCGACCATCTTCCTCTTTATCTTCGTAATATTTGGGCATTCTGTAGCGCTTTCATCCAAATGAGTTTAAGCGAAATATGGATTGAGAAATGTGGCAAAAAGAGCAAAACAAGCTACTGATAAGTCAAATGTGAGATTATTATGAAAGCGGCCATGTTAAATATGACGTATGTGCGGAAGTGGAACCGAAGTGCGTTGTGGGAATTGAAGTTCGCGCTTACAAACCTCAGCACGGATCCAAGCATTTTAAATGGAGAAATGGTGTTGAATGATGCCATTTTATACTTTCTATAGTTATGCATATATTTAAATTATTTATTTTATTAATAATTTGACTGTCCCTGTAGCAGTGCAAAGTATTTATATTGACCAGAAGATGGCGCTAAAATAATGATTTTGTCCCAAAAAAATATGTGTACACTTAAAGGGATAGTTCACCCAAAAAATAAAAATTCTGTCATCATATACTCAAGTTATTCCAAACCTGTACGAGTTTCTTTCTCCTGCTGAACACAAAGATATTTTAAAAGAATGTTGGTAATCAGACAGTTGACGGTAGCCATTGAATGACTTCCATAGTACTTTTTTCCCTACTATGGAAGTCAATGGCTACCGTCAACTGTCTGGTTACCAACATTCTTTAAAATGTATTATTTTGTGTTCAGCAAGACAAAGAAACTCATACAGGGATGGAACAACTTGAGGGTGAGTATATGATATAATTTTTATTTTTGGAGTTAACTATCCCTTTAAGCCACACTTGAAAAATAGTAAAAATACATGCAATTTCATTGCTTTAGAATATTAATTGTCAAACCACGTGGCAGTTATTTCAAAGAAATACGGCACAAGCACACTTAAAAAAAAAATGTTTCACAAAAATATATTTAGGTCTATACGACAAGAGTTTGGACAATTTATTTTGTCAAATGTTAGTGGAACATTTTTATAGTTAGTCCAGGTGGTTAAGTCACAGCAAAAATGGCTCACAAAAAGTTATTTCTAGCACATATGTTTGCAGATGCTGCCTGATATTTTGTTATCTAATGCAATGAACATTCACAGATTTTAAGTGTGACTTTGTGAGGGCACTGTGCATGACATTTATTATAATACAATAATTGCATTACGAAATTATTGTTTAGGCCCTAAAATGGCATAAATCATACATGATAATCACAATTACAATATACCTGTTCAAAGCATGAAAATGTCACTCACCGTTGCATGGTAAATAAATGTTTAAGATGCAATGAGGGGGACACTAATGATGAAGTATGTCAAGACTGGTTAATTTTGGAAGAGTTTATTCAAATCAATGTCAGAGCTGGAGAAAGACAGATGAAGGCACATGAAAGTCTACAATGCACCATACACGAGGAGCATGTTTCATGTCTGATTCATCTCAATGTATGACTGAAGGGTGGATTTCAAGATGGACATCCCAGAAACGCCTCATGGGAGTTTAATAGAGAGATAAACAGAAAAAAATCCATCTTTCAGTGCAATAACAGGTGTGGAAACAGATCACTGAGAGCAAATCTGCAGCAATTTAAAAAATAAAAGGCAGCAATATGGCAAAACACTGAAATTCACTTGTGTTTTCACTTGTCCATTCCCAAGAAGTCACGTCACATGAGCATGTAAAGAAGGGTGATACAGTGCTCCATATCAGATCAAGGATCTACCTCAGACTCTCCTCTCAGGAGAGATCATAAACCAAATGTAAACAAATGCTATGACAGTACATTGGCTTTCTATTACAAAACACACATTTCTCAAGTACTGCAATTCACAAGCAGCTCCAAGTAGTCACAAAAAGGAGGGTGTATGTAACTAAAAAGGATATGCTCTGAAACTTGAAGCATCAAGGATTCTACAATGATACATTATGCCAGGCTGAACTAAAACTTCCATATTATTAAAGATATATACAAATCACATGAGATGAGAGCACTTTGGAAATCTGTACAGCAGTTAATTCAAAACCAAGTCTCTACTACGCCAGGAGCTACAAGCAAAATAAATAAGAACCTCAGCTTTACAATGTAATAAATGTACAGTGTAATAAATCCATGTGTTAAAAACAGCACACATAATACTCTACTGAAATGTAGCTGTTCCATTCAATTTCCATTAGAAGTCTATGGTTCTGGTAATATTTTGCTTCAGACCAGGCCCACACAGAATCTGCACAGGCAGAACTCCACTGAAAGCTTTGAACGCTGTCAATCATAAAGTTCTACACGCTTTTACATATCGTGGCTTATTTGATAGTTACGGAGCCCTTAAGCAGACATGGTGATGGGAATAAATATGCGACGGGAGGTCAAATTTATGCTTCAATGCTTATTGCGTTTGTTTGTTTGAAATTATATTTCAAAAATATTACGTTCCCCGAGAAACTTTGCGTTGGCTGGCAAAACTTTTGCATTCTCTCACAGAAGTATTGCGTTCTCCTGAGAAACTTTGCATTTGCTTGCAAAAGCATTGAATTATAGTTTTTTTAAGTTATTTCAATCAGAATATTTTTTTGCGTTCTCTCACAAAAGTATTGCGTTCCCCTGACAAACTTTTAATTTGCTCAGAAAAAAGCATTGAAATATATTTTTTTCTCTCACTTCATATGACGTTCTCTCGCAAAAGTATTGCGTTCCCCGAGAACCTTTGCGTTTGCTTGCAAAAGCATTGAAATACTTTTTCAACGCTTTGAAATACAATTTTCCCAATCACCATGTCCCTTAAGGGGCTCCGTATATTGTACTTTTAATACCCTCAGCTTCATTAATCACATTTTACCACGCAGAAAAAAAAAAAAAGAATCTGCAGATTCCATCTGGACTTAATCATGACTCACTGAACATTCAGATACTCTTGATACAGCATAGAAAGAAGAACATTTTCTGACTGAAAGCAGATTATTTGAAATGAAATTGAAAATGCTCAATGAACAAATGAAAACACGAAAGATTCTGGAACATAAACATGGACGATTCATGCTCTAAACTTAAAACATCCCACTTAAATCAAGCATATAACAAATTGTCCTATTGTATGATTTAAGCGTTTTGGCAGGGCGCAAGGCAGTCCTTTACCAGGCCCTCAAGGGACGCTGGATGTTAAGGCACAGAGGTGGGCGGCCCTGCACCCCTCTGAACTACACAACGATACAAACATCAACCATCTTCACTCGACTTCAAGCCACGTCATAAATTTCCAATGAATATAAAAGCATTTACTTCTTGTAGAAATTAAAGATTTATTTCAAATAAATTAATTCACCTTCATAGATCGTCATAATAATAACAAGAACAACAACAACAGCCATTTAAAAAAAAACTTTCCGATTGAAAGCCACGATTGATTGGTTGACAATAAAATGACAGAGGAAAATCCACTCGTGTTGACCAGGTAGAGGCCTAAGATATGCTGTTCGTTTTAAGAAATATGTTTTTAGATTTTGGCAAAGTAGTCAATAAAATAATAAACTGGTTTTTCAAAATGTTCTTAACAGAGGGCCAACATCAACATCCTAAAACAAAAACCTAAAAAATATATAAATACCGAAATAAAATGCAAAGTTGACGTTTCTGTCGCCCTACTCTTCCAGCCGTAGTCACCTGACCCAGGGTTTGAGGTCAGTTACAGTCCATGACGGCAGAGCGCTGAGGACATTCTTCATCAGTAGGGGACATTTTCTCCAGCATTGGGTGCAGCCTTGAATCCTGAACTTCAATCCTTCATGACAGCAATGATTGCAATTCTTCACGACACAAATTCAGTGTCTGGAAACATTCTGTCAAAAAGTGTCTTTTTCTGTACAGTAGTAGTCACATTCACGCAACAGAATTCAGGCAATAGTAAAAGGAAAAAACAAAGTCTGACGACAGAAGGGAAAGCCAAGTAGATGAGAAGAGAGAGTGGCGAAGGTACCAGAGGAAGACGAAATGACAGAAAATAAGGAAAAAGTAAAGTTTAAGAGCAAGGGTTCCTCCACGCGCTCTGATATAATGTCCCGGTCACTCTTGAAGCGCTGTAGATGCGAGCAGCACGTCCCTGTCTAGATGACCAGAGGGTCTCAACCACTGGACACATTCAGGTAGTTATCCAGGTATCCTCTTGATATGGATCTGACAAGAGACAGAAGCCAGATCTATGAAGAACATCATCATCATCTATGCAAATCCAAAAACATGTTCTTGTTTTGGGCACATAAGATAGATTTGTGTACAGCAAAAGAGAAGATTAAATACCAACATAACAAATAAATGTTAAGTCTGGATCAGTGCAAAAATAGTCTCACATTATGCAATACTTGAATTAAAGCAAAACCAATAATAATGAATGTAATGCAACCTACAACAGTAAAAATACAGCAAAATCTCTACTAGCATATAGTATGATATACTGCCAAACCCTAGACGGGTCTATAGCAGAGGAAGCAAGCAGACCTCGCTAACAATCGCCCACACGGCGGAGTCTTTCTGGACCGTCAGACGCACAGCCACCACAGGGTTAAAGGCGGGCTCAACCGTCCCCTCTGCCAGTCCTTTCTCGAACTGAGCTGAAGAAAGAGACAATGAATGATATCGTAACGTTAAAAGGGGAGAACAGGAGCGATTGTAATACTTTACAATATTCATTTAGCAGACACTTTTATCCTAGGCGACTTACAAATAAAGAAAAATTAGAAGCAATTTGAAAAGAGCAGTGGAAAAAAAAAGTTATGGGGTTTAGTTATTGGAAGCGTCTTCCAACGGTTTCCTGAAGGTTGTAATGGTGCATACTGGGTACCGTATATATAAATAATGATTATTTTTAGATTTGTGTTTTAATAGCTAAAGTACTATTGGGGCCTACACTAATATTAAAAAATTTGAAGTCAATAAAAAAAATATATATATATTCAGCAAGGATGCATTAAATTGATTAAAAGTGACACTAAAGACATTTCAAAATGTTACAAAAGACTAAAGGAATAAATAACTGCTTTCTATGTTAATATTTTGTTTAAATGTAATTTTAAATTGTAATAAAAAAAGAGTTTCTTACATGCGCTTCTTGAGGCACACATGCACACTAGCACACACACGCAAGGTCTCTCGCTCTCTCCCTCTCTGCCATGCGCGCGCTACACGGTGATCTCTCCCTCTGCCGTGCGCACGCTACACGGTTTGAACATACATATTCACGTAGCCTTTCGAAAACCGGGACATTCAGTGTCCCGGGAGAGTGCATAAATTTCCCGGGAAAGGTTATTAAAAAGAAGGACGGGACAGGTGGCAACCCTAACTGAAACGCCTTAGTTGCAGTCTTGAGTTTTCTATCAGGAACATACACAGCACAATATTCCTTATTTAAATGAAGAGTCCAAAACATATGCAAAATAATAGGGGGCGAGGCCTGGTTGAGTTGCATTAGGGCGTTTTCACACCTGAAAGTCCGCACCAAGGTCCGAACCAAAGTTCACGTTTTGATACATTTTATACTTTCAGAAAGTTTTGGTTGCAATTATGCGAGCGCACTAAAGAACTTTACGTGACATACTTGCATCCTGTCGTCATCATCTATGTGGGCTGCATCTTGACATTGATTGGTTTGTAAATGGACGTGCGTCTGACGTCAACGTGTTGTCAATTCGGCGGGTAACTTTGACAACATGAATGAACAGACGCATATCGTTGCAACTATATTGTTATTTTTATGGCATAATTACCTGCAGCACCAACTATACACAAGGCTAGTTCAAATTCGCCAAATGAACGTCCTCGTCGTGCGAACATTTTAACGTCGCTGGCAGGAAAGAAGGAGAAGACTGCAAGCAATCATGCGAGCTCTGGCACCTCCATTTGGGGAGAGACCAAGGTGAACTATTCCGGCTATGCGGGAACCACCGGAACTTCCTGTAAAAGGTCTGAAAGTCCGAACCATACAGAAATGCTTTCACACTAGAAACGAACCAAACCTTTGTTCAATTTGATCCGGACCGAGACTACCTCTTTTCATCGGACCAAATTTCATCTGTTTGGTCCGGACCGTGGTCCGGGGTAGGTTTCCCACCTGTAATTTTGATTCGGACCAAACTGAAAAGTCCAAAAGTCCGGACCAAACAAGGTAGGTGTGAAAGGGTCCTTAGTAGGGTGTTGAAACTTGTGGTTATGGTAAGGGCTGTGACATTTCAGAAACACGCTTGAAGCGGTTGACCAATCACAAACAACCGACCAATCAGAGCACATTGTGCTTTCAGAAGGAGGGGCTTTATAGAGACAGGAACTAAACAGAGTTACTGACAGACTGGGAAGAGAGGTGCTGCAACAATATGAAAAAAAAAAAATGGAAAAATATTGTTTTTTGAACATTTAAGCATGAAAACCTATACTAGTACACCCAAAAAACAAAATCAAAACTTTGTAAAAGGGACCCTTTAAAGAGTCAATGGTCTCCCCTATTTGCAAGCAAAGCACAATAATTTGCTTCAAGTGCAAAACTGCTGATTTGAGCGTGCATGTAATAACTCACCAAGTTTATAGAACCGATCTTCTGTCCGTTTATATTTCTCTTTGGTCTTCACCTCAGCGTCCTGCAAGAGTTAACATCCTCATTTAGAAGCACTTAAAGAGCCTAACAATGTTAATGCTAACAATGTTAGACAACTGTGAGAGCATTATTTGTATATCATGATAAAATAGTAAGTAAAACCAAGCTCACAAACCCATTTACACAAACTCGGATGTATTACCGACCTCATTTATTCAAGGAAAGTCTTCAAAAACAAACATCAAAAGCCCATTTGAAGGCTTTTTAAGCTCTGTATCACAGCAGGATGGCAGTATGCTGCCTCATTACCACGGTAGCTCAACCTGCGATGGACTGAAATGAGCCCTGGTGGCAGCGTACACAGGAGACCTACACCAGATATTCCTGTCAACCTGCTGATGTTAGACTCTGACAAACCTGTCACCTGGTTGTTTGGACATTTAGAGGAAACCATAGAAATATAATTGAGGACGTTTTATTTTATTATTTTACCGAAAAGGGCAGGATCTCGACAGTAGTGTTCTCGATTTTGTCTCCTGGGTGCTCCTGGTTTCCACTGCGAAAAAGGAACCTGCCAATCAAAGGCTGATTGTTAATGAATATGCATGTACAGGCACAAACTCATGAATATTCATCAACACACATGTACAAACATTGGCAGGACATGGACAAGAGTCTAACTTACACTGAACACACACTGGCATGCACACAGATAAGGGGTCTCTAAACATGCCCCTACTTGAGCTGATAATTAAATACAGTCGCACGTGAGTAAATTGACACTTCCATCTTGTTAGCACTGTTTCTACTCAGACAAAAATTTCTGAAGAGGTCAAGACTCAGTCTGCATCTATATCTGAAATACTCCTCATCTCTCTGTCCCATGCTTCATGTCCCAGGACCAGTGCGAGAGAGTTTTGGGCCTTCGAAAATCCAGTAAAAACAGTCATACTGTAAAATATTATTCTATGATATAAAATATCACAAAGATAAATAAATGTGACACAGGAGTATCACAGAAAGTATTACAATTTAAAATAAGTGTTTTTTATTATTATTTTAATTTATTTTAAAATGTAATTTATTCCTGTGATTGAAAGCTGAATTTTCAGCATGATCCTTTGGAAATCATTCTAATATGCTGATTTGATGCTCAAGAAAACATTTGTATTCTTAATGTAAAAAATAAAAGTCATGCTGCTTAATATTTTTTGTGGAAACAGTGATACAGATTTTTAAGTGACAGCCAAAAAAAAATGAACTAATCATTCACTTACCTCATGTTATTCCAAACCTGTATGACTTTCTTCTATAGAACATGAAACAAGATATTTTGAAAAATGCTTAAGTACAAATAACATCGGACCCAACTGGCCTTCACTGTATGGACAAAAACAGTCAAAGCATTCTTCAATGTTCCTCAGAAGAAAGAAAGTCAATCAGGTTTGGAATGAGATGAAGATGAGTAAATGATGACAGAATTATGTTTATTTATATATGTCATCAACTTAATATCTAGTTGGCTGACATAGATGAGTGTTTTTACAAATTGCAATAATGACATGAATGATCACAGCAGCAGAAATGGGATATTTCCAAATAAATTATGTTTTGTAAAATAAAAAGAACTTTAAATATATTTTGTTAGCACTTTACAGTAAGGTTCCTTTGTTAACATTAACTGCATTAGGTACTATGAACTAAGAATGAAAAACACTTCCAAAGCATTTATGTTATATTAGTTCATTTCAACATTTACTAATACATTATTAAAATCCAAAGTTTTTTTGTCAATAATATTTAATGAGCTAACATGAACCATCAATGAACAGTTGTATTTTCATTAACTAACATTAACAGAGATTAATAAATACTGTGGTTAATGCGTTCAATTAGCAATACATTTGTTAATGTTACCATATTTTCTGACACACATACAGATACGATGCTAAAAATACAAGCAAAATTTTAATTTGATGTACTGACCCAGATTTGGCCAGCAAAATAAATAAATAAATAAATAAAATCAGCCTTTTTGGCTTTTACCCAGCAAGAAATCTTATTTCTGTCATGACCACTATCGTCAAATACGATTGACAATTAGCATACAGTTTGGATTGGCGGTATGGTTCTGTTCTGGGCAAGAACTCCCTGCGCATCCATGCAGCCTAGCATGGATAAGAGCAGGGAGAGCAGCAGTAACCCCCCTTAGGGTAAACAGAACAGAACCAACATGAATGTATGCAGATATCATTCATTCAGATTTTAAAGTACAACACAATTCGAGAATTTATTCTGAATGCCAAATACTGACTGACGAGAGGAGGAGCTGGGGATGGAGGAGGGTAATTGCTCCTGAGAAACGCGATAGCTGCTGATAATACATATATATGTATACAGTAATAGGCGTCGTATTCCTATAGGTAGACGTGGATCAGCTGAGAGTCAGCTGATGCGAGCTTGACTAACGTGACCTGCCAGAAATGACGCTGCGCTTGATTTCATGGAGATCTCTGTATCTGCTCAACAATGTTTTCTCCATTCTCCATTTCTTCCTCTCCAGAGGTTTTGGGTTACAGCGTCTTATTTTAGAAGCTTCTCATTAGCCACCTCTCCTCCCCTGTGAGGACAGTGAGACATGGAGACGTGTGAATGATGTCTCCTGATTCGAGCTCAGTGAACATCACTTTTAGGAAAAGGTGAGGATTACAAAAATAAATCATTTGGGTGCGTGTATGAATGGTGAATTAAAGCTATACATATAAATACAGCACTGCTCTTTAGTCTGGCCTTAACCTCTCTCACACCATCCGCAGGTCATCAGGCCATCATTACCACCCAGCCCTGTAAATGTGTGTATCTCTCTCAGTCGCAGACAGACTGACCTTTCTATGTTGACAGGCCGATCAAACTTGAACAAGACATAGTCTCCAGCCATTGGAGTAATGGCCCAGAAGAAATCCTCGCCCGTGTAGGTCTTCTCAAGCGTGTGGCCTTGATACACTTTAAGAGAGGTGGACACCTCCGCCGGTGGGTTCACGTGAATCTTATGCAGTAGAGGTTTCAGGAAGTCTTTATCCTGACAGAGTAAAATACAGAGGAAGTTATGACTAAAGTCAACAGGAAGTGTGGCTGATGGCCTAGCTGATATACAACAGTCCTTAAAAGTAAAAACAGCTAATTAGATTTAGGAAAAGGTCAGCTATTTAAGAAAAAAAAAAAAAAGTTTGTCAAAAGAAAACAGGATACAGGGGTAAGACGAGATGTTATAAGAAAACAGGAAGCTTTGTGTGGAAGAGAATCAAACTTTAAGAGCACACTGTAAAAAAATGTTGTTTCCACTTAAAGGGCTCTATCTTGCACCCGGCGCAAATGACTTTGTACACTGACGCATGTATCATTCCTATTTTGCACCCGCGCAAAGCGGACTTTTCCCTCCATAGACACACGTCGGTTAACTAAGAAATACACTTGCGCTCCCCGGGGCGGTTCAGCGCAAAGAGGAGGCGTGTTCCGGCGCAAACTTTCCCTCATGCTATTTTGCTGTTCTATAAAACAATTGCGCCACTGACCAGAAAAAACCTAGTCTAAAGTCAGTGGCGCGTTGCGCGTTGTTCATAATGCTATTTTAAGCGCGCATGCTTGGCCATAATGTAGCGGGTGCACAACGCGCATACACTTTGATTCTCTCATCAACACAGATGCAGCAGTTTTTATTTTTGCAAATCATACATTATAACAAGGAAAAATATTAACACATGAGGGAAATCATTGTGGTGTCCATGAAGATGTAAAAATTTTTGTTTTTTTCCTCCCACGCCTGTTTAACTGACGCTGATTTGGGTGGGTTTCTCCCATCCCCATACAACGTCACTTCTCTGTCTTTCACGGTCCTGACAAGAACGTCGGTCTCCTCGGCTGTGAACCGCTCCTGGCGCGCGCCTGGTAAATCCGCCGTTATAATAGCAATCCGCCAAGCAACATGCGCACCTGCTCTTAAAGGGAATGTGAGATGACGCTCTGATTGGTTTATTTCACGTTACGCCCAAACCACACCTATGAATAATGAAGCTACTTCAGACCAACCCCTTTTAGATTTGCGCCAGGCGCAAGAGGCATTTATCCCGCCGGGAAAATAGCAACAGCGCCGGGATCCGCCCACAAAGTTACTTGCGCTTTGCCACTTGCGTTTCAGATCGTTAAAATAGGGCCCAAAGTGTTCGTGCTGCAAAGTTATGCTTATCTTAGATGATCTGATCACAAGTTGTCAGCGACAGGTTTTGGACAACGATCACTAAAACTACATTTGTAATGTAAACAATCATTTACATCATAATTATATACAAATGACGGTCCATCTACTGGCTTGTCAATTATCCATTATGCTCAAACAAGGGTTTTAAACTTGCTGGTTAGGTCATTCAAGAATGTTTATACTAGGTGTAAAGCGTGGCTAGAAAAAAATAACACTCATGAAATAAGAGTTACCGTGAGTTTCTGGATTTTCCCAGCAAGGGAGGAGTGCAGGCCTACATGCTGAAACAAAGAGGGTCTGAAACGAATTCGCAGACTCGACTTCTGTCTCTCACAGTGTTTCTGAAGAGAGAAAGAATGAGGAAGACACGTACATTAAACTGTAAGAACGAAGGAATAAAAATAGGGTAAAAGTTATAAATAGTGACATAATGTGTGTGTGTGTTTGTAGAGAGAAAGAAAAATAAATAAGAAAAACACACACAAAAAAGTTCCCGTTCTGCTAAAAGCCTCTCAAGGTCACAGAAAGACACTAGCAGGCAGAGAGTATTAACTTACGGCATCTTTCTCTGGGTTGCATACTTTGACCCAGAGTATGTGATCTAGCAGCCAATCGATGGGCTTCTCCTTATAAAACATGAAGATAAACTCCACAATGAGATTTAGATCTGGGGCTTGGAACATTTTACCTGAGAGAGCGAGAGAGAGAGAGAGAGAGAGAGAGAGAGAGAGAGAGAGAGAGAGAGAGAGAGAGAGAGAGAGAGAGAGAGAGAGAGAGAGAGAGAGAGAGAGAGAGAGAGAGAGAGAGAGAGAGAGAGAGAGAGAAAAAGAGATAATAAAATATATATATTCATTCAAAAAGTTTGGGACAAACCAAGTAGACAAAGGCTGCATTTATTTGATAAAAAAAAATTGTATATGAAATAATTATTAAAGTAACTGTTTTCTGTTTTAATAAATCACATGATCACATGTCACATGATCCTTCAGAAATCATTCTAATATGCTGATTTGATGCCTAAGAAACATTATTATCAGTGTTGAAAACTATTGTGCTGCTTAATATTTATGTGAGAACCGTGATACATTTTTTAAGGATTTTTTGATGAATAGAAAGTTCAAAAGAACAGCATTTATTTTAAATAGAAATCTTTTGCGACAGTAAATTACTTTAATGTCACTTTTGATCAATTTAACACACCCTTGCTGAACAAACTTTTCTGAAAGAAATTAAAAAAAATTCTGATTTACAACCAATGACAAGAAGTCTTAAAGAGATGGTTAGTTTGTTTGTTCACTCAAACAAAAAATTCTGTTTTCATTTACTGGCCCTCATGTCATTTCAAACCTGTTCTTTCCTCAGTGGGACACAAAAGGAGAGTTACACTTTAATTTGATGGTTCACTTTAGACATTCTACTAACCAGAAGTACCTTTGCAGCTACATGTCAACTACAGTCATTAGAGTATTAGTAGACTGTCTGCTTAAAGGGTAACTAAACACTGAAACAACTTTTTTTAGTTAATGATCTGTAAGAATGGAGCTTCATAAATGCTGTTCTTTGATTCGAGTACATTTTTTGACATTTGGGTATAAAGTGTTTTAATTTTCAAATATATGGTGTAAAAACGTATGAGTGCTGCCCTCTTCAGGTTAAACGGAAAGCTCCTGCAGTAGGGGTACTCTCTGACGTAGGATACTCTCTGACGTAACTCTGTCACGCACTTGGTGCGAGCTCACCACGCCCTTGGCAGCCCCTGGTATAAAAGCATCTGGTTCCGTCAAAACTACTGTAGCGAGTCAGGAGTTGGAATTACGAGTATTGAAAACGATCAGGATAGTTTTATATTTGAAAATCAACAAACAACAAATAAAACAAGCAGCTCTATGCACTTTTTAAGGCAAGATTCTATTCTGTGGCATTTCCTTCTGACCGTCGTCAATAGCAACGCATTATAAACAGTGCAAATCCATGTAACGTTATCACAACGGACGCGCTCTCTCGTTTCATTCAAATACAATTTGCCGTCTTGCGTCTCCGTTTTTGATTGTATTGAAAATAAAATCAGAGTTAATTTATTGTTTACAGAGTTTGATAATATTGTTGTGATCATCTTGTCTGGACGATTGTTTTGTACGCTGTACAAAATGGATTTATAAACAGGTAAGATTTAAAACATTAATGCGAACTTTTCTTCGTGGAAGCTTCACGTTTATTTCAAGTGAGTAAGATAAAATATTTCAACTCAAAACAACATTTTGAAGTGTATTGCAGCGACTTTTTTGTGCATGTTCTGCAGACAGGGTGACCATCATCGATTAAGTTTCCCTCAGGACTTTTGTAAAAGCCAAAATATGACACACCTCAGATTTGGCCCTCTTAAAAGGCAGAAAAATCAGATGAAGGTGGGGAAGAAAATACTTCAAATGACCGCTCTGTTGCAAAGCTACTTGCGTCACTCCAGTCGGTCTCCATTTTAGCGAGTTTGACAGCAGCTGTCAATCAATCCCTCACTGCGGTCTCAGTTCGTCCCCTCTATCTCCGCTGGGCTCTGCCCACTTTTCCAGCATTTTTCAAATATTGCCAGTGGGTGGAGTCAGGCTCTGACCAGGGGTTTAGTTACCCTTTAATATCTGCTAACACTTTATTTTGATGGTCCTCTCTAACAGACATTCTACTGACTATAAGTAACTTCACAACTACATGTCAACTTTAATTACTAAACCAAAATAACACCTAACCTAACAGTCTACTAATACTCTAATGAGAGTTAGTTGACATGTAGTTGCAAAGTTACTTATAGTTAGTAGAATGTCTAAATTGGACCATCGAAATAAAGTGTAACCAAAAGAAAAAAAAATCTTTTTTTGAAACACTATTATGGTGCTTTTTGGGGCTTGATATCTCCTGGACACTGTGTGCCTCTGTTGTATGGCCAAGAGCAGTGGGATCATTCTTTAAAATCTCTCTTTCAGTGGTCCACAGCAGAAAGAAAGTCAAACAGGTTTGGAACAACATGAGGGTGAATAAATGATGACAATTAAAAGTGATATCTGAATAGCTGTCCATATTAAACAAATAAAGATATTAAAAACATAGAAGTCACACCAATGAAGCCCAGCTGTGAAAACTCAAGGATCATCCAGTCCTCAGTGGCGAGTTGAAGGGCAAAGTTTTTCATGGTGGCAAAATAGTTAGGCTTGGCGACGATGTCATCCTCTAACTGTAAGAAGAACAGGAAACAGATATGAATCATACAGCACAGCTCATAAACCAGATGCATTTACTGACACAAGCTGCACCTACTAAACATATCACTTCTAACTAAAAACCCCAAGAATAAAAAAAAATATATATATATATATATAACATCACACTTCACACACAGACACTGTTGCCACTAATATACGTAAGCACACACAAACACTAAGTTAAAGCATGTCGTCCTATACCCTTGAGTAACTTGAGTTCCCCCCCAAAAAAACATGAAAGCAATACCTTTCCCCTCTCCTAAGAGAGCACAGCGTGTATTGAGAGCACAAAGACATGAAGACACTGGAGAGATTTATTGGCACGGCAGAAAATTAAACCAAAAAAAATGAATGCAAACATTCAGTACAGTCCAACACACAGACTGACAGAAGCACGTGAGAATGGGGAAGACATGAAAGTTGAAAGACATACATGAACATGAATACAAAATTATGCTTTTTTTTTTCTTGGGAAAATGTGAAAACGTTAGGCAAGAAAGACACTTAAAGGTGCAGTAAGTGATTTTTGAAATACGCTGTTGAAAAGTGGATCAGACCGAGCACCAAAACACACTTGTAGCCAATCAGCAGTAAGGGACGTATACACTCATGATGGAGGAGGAGCGAGAGCTCAGTGCACAAAAGGTCAGAGGTCACTCTTCCGCCAGAACTAGACTCATGTACGGCCAGATACATTTTCTTTTTTTTAAATCGCATTGCTTCGCTTCAGAAGGCCTTTATTAACCCTCTGGAGCTGGATTACTTTTATGATGGATGGGTGTGCTTTTTATTTTTATTTTTTATTTTTTAAACCCATTTTTAACACATATTTAAACCCATTATAAAGCTTGGAAGAGCCAGGACAGGGTACCCCCAGGATCCTCCAACTTAAATTCAAGGCTTTTTAAGACCTTTTTAATACCATTTCAACTGAAATTCAATGCCAACTTCGTACCCATTCCGACAGAAGTATGAGGGAAAAATGTCAAATCTGTATACATTTTAAACCCTAGAAAATAATTATGTACAAGGAGGCTACTTGAATTAAATAAAACATTTTACTTAAATTATCAGTCATATTTAATATGCAACAGCATTGTAGCGTGCATGTGTGTGTAGCAGGCCAGTGTTAATTTTGGCAGCCATTTTTTATTTAGTCTTAGTCTTCAGACGAATATGCTTATTGGTCTTAATCACATTTGAGTCATCCTGTTTTTTATAGTTGTAGTTGACGAAAAGTCTTTGCATTTTTTGTCAACTTTTAGTCAAACTGCAGTTACTTTACTTTTGGTAGTTATTTTATATGTAGTCTTTAGACAGAAAATGTCATAATAATTATTCTCTCTAGGCCAATTCAATTAAGCTTATGAGAAATTATTGACATTGCACTCTTTGGCAGTAGCACTTGTGCAGTTCTACATAATGATCCCTTTTCCTAAGTTCCGAGGTTCTCCAATTTTTTAGAGTGCCGTTCCCCCTGAACCCCCTCTCTTCCACTTAGACTGCAGTCACACCCTTTCCATTAAGGGACAAGATTTGCCCCCTTTAATACATTTTTCCATTTCATTTTTTTATTAAATTTGCAATGATAAAAAAACATTAAAATCGCCAGTAGGTGGCAGTAACTCACTATCTTTATGAGAGTCGTTGAGTCATTCATTCATTGAATCTCACGATTCGTTCAAAGCCACATATTTCTTTGCAAAATAGAGCAAGCCTGACAATGCTGTTTTTAATGTAGTACATCACTTAATGTTACCCTTTTTTCTTTTCTTATTTACTGTTGTATAAAATCAATGTCACATTTGAAATCGTGTGGATATTCGGGAAACATTGCATTCTTGCTCGTATGAACACTGGTGGATATATCAGCCTGCATTTTGATCGCAGATTTAGTCGCACAAACAGCGCAAGCGGCTCGTGACAGAACACAGACCGACTGAATGACACTTTAATTTAAGTAAGTTACAACATTTTAAATAAAGATCGCTGAACGCTAAAGCTTGTCTGTGTTTTCAAATCATCCGCGCTTCTTCAGCAATGTAGAGAGAGAGGGCGCGCATGGTTGCCAGATACTATTGAAAAGACGGGTAGAAAATATGTTCTTTTAACAGAAAGGCTCTTATTTGGGGTTTAAATTATGTCATTTGTGGCCACAGCGGATTAAGCTAGGTAGGTACTATCTTGTTCTGTACCTCACTTGCCTAGTAACCATAGTAACGGGTGCGCACGCGATCGCTTTTTCTGCTATGACGTGGAGCGCGAGGTGCACTCAACGCTGCATACATTTTGAATTAGCCTACATTAGTAAGTTAATTTTGTTACGGTATGAACTTAATCCTAGCAAAGGCAAAATATATATATATATATACACTCACCGGCCACTTTATTAGGTACCCCATGCTAGTAACGGGTTGGACCCCCTTTTGCCTTCAGAACTGCCTCAATTCTTCGTGGCATAGATTCAACAAGGTGCTGGAAGCATTCCTCAGGGAGTTTGGTCCATATTGACATGATGGCATCACACAGTTGCCGCAGATTTGTCGGCTGCACATCCATGATGCGAATCTCCCGTTCCACCACATCCCAAAGATGCTCTATTGGGTTGAGATCTGGTGACTGTGGAGGCCATTTTAGTACAGTGAACTCATTGTCATGTTCAAGAAACCAATTTGAAATGATTAGAGCTTTGTGACATGGTGGAAGTAGCCATCAGAGGATGGGTACATGGTGGCCATAAAGGGATGGACATGGTCAGAAACAATGCTCAGGTAGGCCGTGGCATTTAAACGATGCCCAATTGGCACTAAGGGGCCTAAAGTGTGCCAGGAAAACATCCCCCACACCATTACACCACCACCACCAGCCTGCACAGTGGTAACAAGGCATGATGGTTCCATGTTCTCATTCTGTTTACGCCAAATTCTGACTCTAACATCTGAATGTCTCAACAGAAATCGAGACTCATCAGACCAGGCAACATTTTTCCAGTCTTCAACTGTTCAATTTTGGTGAGCTCTTGCAAATTGTAGCCTCTTTTTCCTATTTGTAGTGGAGATGAGTGGTACCCGGTGGAGTCTTCTGCTGTTGTAGCCCATCCGCCTCAAGGTTGTGCGTGTTGTGGCTTCACAAATGCTTTGCTGCATACCTCGGTTGTAACGAGTGGTTATTTCAGTCACTGTTGCCCTTCTATCAGCTCGAACCAGTCTGGCCATTCTCCTCTGACCTCTGGCATCAACAAGGCATTTCCGCCCACAGAACTGCCGCTCACTGGATGTTTTTTCTTTTTCGGACCATTCTCTGTAAACCCTAGAGATGGTTGTGCGTGAAAATCCCAGTAGATTAGCAGTTTCTGAAATACTCAGACCAGCCCTTCTGGCACCAACAATCATGCCACGTTCAAAGTCACTCAAATCACCTTTCTTCCCCATACTGATGCTCGGTTTGAACTGCAGGAGATTGTCTTGACCATGTCTACATGCCTAAATGCACTGAGTTGCCGCCATGTGATTGGCTGCTTAGAAATTAAGTGTTAACGAGCAGTTGGACAGGTGTACCTAATAAAGTGGCCGGTGAGTGTATATATATATATATATATATATTATATATATATAAGACCTTTGTAACGAAATCCAAGACTTTGTAAACTAAATTCAAGGCTTTTAAGGCCTTAATTTGAGATGATGAAATTCAAGACTTTTTCAAGGCTTTTAAGACCCGCGGGTACCCTGCAGGATATTTTTAATATAACTCTGATTGTGTTTGGAATGAAAGAAGAAAGTCATATACACCTATGATGGCTTGAGGGTGAGTAAGATATGAGATAATTTTCATTTTTGGATGAACTATCCCTTTAAGGAGCAGGAAGTCCTGAAAACGGACGCCGAGGTTGCTTTATTGCTTCTCGATACACAAGTTGGTTTTGCTGAGGTTTTTCACAGAACTAAGATATGCTGTCTTTACTTGAATATACTCATGAGCCATCTTCGCTTGTTTGTTCATAGCATTTATTATTATTATTATAAGCCTGGAACGTCTAAACCTCCACCGCCTGTTTCAATCATCTGCTCCCAAAGTGTGTCAGAAAAGTGAGATTACATACTCCTAATGTATGGTTTCTCTTTTGGTTTCCCTTTTAGTGATCAGTATAACCCTTTCTTGTCTCATTTGTGATATATTAGTTACTATTGAGTTATGAAGGGATCTTTTCTTTTTTTGGGATGGAATTTGCCAACAAACGAGTAGAGGAGCTAAATTGCAATTAAACATTTGACTTGAATTATCATAGTAACAAACTGACATCATACACTTGGACGGCAGGCACAGCAGATTCCACTATAGCCGTTGCCTGTGTTGCATAACGTGTGTGTGTGTGTGTGTGTGTGAATGTGGGGGCGGAGGCATCAAGATAGGGGTGTGATCCTTTTGGATAGGGGGTGTGTTTGTTTTGGAGATTTCAAATATCAACAGCATTTACCAGAAAACGCTTACTCCAACTTTAACACACAGCAATTCACTACCATTCAAAAGTTTGGGGTTGGTTAGACTTTTTAATGTTTTTAAAAGAAGTCTCTTATGCTCACCAAGGGTGCATTTATTTGATCAAATATACTGTGAATATTCTGAATTTATAATAACTTTATTGTATTTTAAAATGTAATTTATTCCTGTGATGGCAAAGCTGAATTTTCAGCATCATTACTCCAGTCTTCAGTGTCACATGCTCTTTTTATTCTAATATGCTGATTTTGCCGTTTAAGAAATATTTTGTATTATTATAAATTTGGGAAAGTTGTGCATACTATTTTCATGGAAACTGTGATACATTTTTCTCAGGATTCATTGAGTAGAATTTCAAAATAACAGCATTTATTTGATTCTTTTTAAAACATTTTTGTAACAATAAGTGTATTTACTGTCACTTTTGATCAAAATAATGCTTCACTTCCAAATAAAAGTATTCATTTCTTTCTGTCAAAAAATCTCACTGACCCCAAATTTTGAAAGATAGTGAAAATGCCATAAAATACATGTAATGTTTTAAATAAAAGCTTTTTATCAAGTACAATTGGAAAAGTAAGAACATATTATAAAAACTCATCATCCTCTATTCCCAAGTTTGATACTAACTCCTCATTAGTATAGTGGACAGTATCTCCGGCCTGTCACACAGAAGACCGGGGTTTGATTCTCCAACGGCAGTTGTGGCCTAATGGTTAGAGCGTTAGACTAGCAAACTGAAGGTTTCGATTCTCAATACTGCAGAGGACAAATTCTGAGGCCTTCATGTCATGTGATATCGACAACTATGAATATAAAAATGCATTTAATACTCAATCTTGTTGCAGCGCATGAACTGTGCCAGGTGTGGCTTGAGAGAGACATAAATAGAATTGATATTATATGCATAATGTTCACTGTAACTGATTTGATGAAAAGCACACATTGGTTGCAGAGCATTAACCATGTGGGATTACAGTTTTACATCTTGCATGCTAACAAAATTACCAGTTGGCAGAGGCTTCTGCTTGGTCTCTTACATCATGTTATGGTTTTCACGTTTGTTTGTGCTCCAGAGAGAAACAAATAAGAGGTGTCATGTCAAGTGCTACACCGCTTTAAATCTGCTGCGACCATGTACAGCTGCTCTGACTGTAGCGAATTCTTTCCCCTGATCATATTCCCAGCTGTAAAATCATAATCACTTCACAAAAACTGAAATCCCCAAACCACAAAGTCACGTTCCCATGACAACCGCTACAGAGCCAAAGGGTGTCTTTATGGTATATCCAGATAAATGAGTTACCAAGGCAACCATTGAGCAAAGAGCTTTTGGTGTACTTTGTCTATCTAATTCTGAACTGAAGAGCTTCCAGTGGGGATCTGGCGCACTAACTAGAAACCTAAACAGAAATATGCATCGCTCGGGAAACTGACTGTAAGAGGAAAATTCAATCAAAACATATTTTAAGTTAAACACAATGGTCTCAATTGTTCAATTTCACATGTATGTGTGACATGCCGTCACTTAGCCAAGACAATAGAGACGCACAGACTAAGGTATAATTATATTTACTGTATATATTTATTTCTAAATAAAATAAAAACATACAAATCTTCTTAAAAGTGAATTTGGGCATTACAAAGAGTACTATGTGAACATATTCATTTTGAGATTGGCTAAAGATTACATTTAACACCTGTTATTTAGGCTAATTATAAGTGTTTTAAAAATGAACTTAAAAAGTAATCTAAATGTAAAAAAAAAAAAAAGGGAACTAACCTGTGCAATTAAATATTCGATATATGTGTGTATATAAACCGATGAGCCAAAACATTATGACCACCTGCCTAATATGCTGTTGGTCCTCCGCCAAAACAGTGCCGACCGAACAAGGCATGGGCTCTTCAAGACCCTGAAGGCGTCCTGTGGAATCTGGGACCAATACATTATCAGCAGATCCTTCAAATGCTGTAGGTTGCGAAATGTGGAGCCACCGCGATGTAGTGATATGGACTGAACTTGTTGGTCCAGCACATCCCACAGATGCTCAATTAAATTGAGATCTGGGCAATTTGGAAGCCAGAGTAACACCTTGAACTCTTCATCATGTTCCTCAAATCATTGCTGGATGATGTGTGCAGTGTGACAGTGTACTCATTGGACCTGACGGCCTTCTAAGGTCCATTTCCGATGCTTGCGTTACCATTCTACAATCGAACAGGCGCTTTTGGCGGTCATCATGTGCACTCTGACCGGTCTGCAGCTACGCAGCCCATTCGCAGCAGGGTGCGATGTTGTTACACATTCCTCCCTTAGCCATCATTAACATTTTCTGTGACTTATGCCACAATAGCCTTCATTGCCCTTGTGCATCAATGAGCCTTGGACGCACAAAGCCATGTTAGCGATGGTTTGTCGCTCCTCGGACCATGAGCATCCCACAAGGCTTGGCTTTTCAGAGATGCCTTGACCCAAGTCATCCTGCCATAACAATTTGGCCCTTGACAAAGGTCTTTACACATCGATTTCAATAACTGATTGTTCAGTAATCATCTTATCTAGAACTAGAACTACTCAGAACTTGGCATGTGACATTGTTAGGAAATGATCAACATTTTTCTGCTTCACCTGTGAGTGGTCATAATGTTTTGGCTCTTTAGTGTATACACAAACGCACACAAAAATTGACAGCATGCCACAAATGCTGTCAATTGACTTAGGGTTGAAAACAGTTTTGATCATCATACAGGTGATCTAATTGTAGCAGCAACAAATATTTTTAGTGTATTTTATATGCAGAAAGAGCTACAGGTGAAACTCGAAAAATTTGAATATCGTGCAAAAGTTAATTTATTTCAGTAATTCAACTTAAAAGGTGAAACTAATATATTATACAGACTCATTACATGCAAAGTGAGATATTTCAAGCCTTTATTTGTTATAATTTTGATGAATATGGCTTACAGCTTATAAAAACCCCAAATTCAAAATTAGAATATTGTGAAACGGTTTTCATAGATGTAAGTCATAACCATCCAAATTATAACAAATAAAGGCTTGAAATGTCTCACTTTGCATGTAATGAGTCTATATAATATATTAGTTTCACCTTTTAAAGGGATACTCCACCAGTTTTTCTTATTAAACTATGTTATTCCCTTAACTAAGACGAGTTGATACATACCTCTCTCGTCTCAGTGCGTGCACTATATCCCTCTGTATTGCCGCAAAACTATGTTAGCACTTAGCTTAGCCCATGCATTAAATATGGGCCAAGCAGAGAAGCGACCAAACACTTCCACGTTTTCCCTATGTAAACACAGTTACTCGAGTAGTGTAACTTGACCTGGGCTGGTGACACAAAATAAACCGTTGCGCTTTTCTAAGCGTTTAAAATTGATGACTATATTGTATGGCGGAATACCATAACAAGTGCTTTTGAGCACTTCGACTTGGCGCAATAATATCTTCACTCGTGAAAAGATTACCGGCTCCCGCTTCCTCTCCCCCTCCCTCCAATAGCATCCAGCTGCTGACATTTCCGTCAATACTACCAACGTGACTTTTACTACCTGTGCTATTAGCAAACTGCAGATCATTTGCAATGGCCGACTTTGTAGATGATTATGACTTCTTTTAGAAGACCCAGAGCCATATCTGTTTGAACCCGAGTACACGGAGGAGGAATTAGCTCTTATGGACCGTGAGAGGCAAGAAAGATATGATCCAGAACAGACCGGAGCTGGCGAAAGACCACGGGCTTTCTGTAAGTGATCTGAATATTGTTGGTGTAGCCTCATCCTTTAGGCGTGTTCCTGTGCAGGTATAGTCCTTCTTTGTGAAATGTTCGGAGCAAACACGCCACTTCTTCAGAGTCATCAATGGTGTTTTGGGATTCTTGTTCAAAGCAGCTAACCAAGCTCTCCGCTGTATGTGGTGTGTTTGAATTCGGTGAAAAATGACAGCACTATGTACATTCTCCTTATTTTCACAACCCTTTACGATGCACGCTTTAACCATTATTGTACACAAACTAGCTTCCAACAACCTGTTACTTCGTCAACTCCGCTCGAACTACTACTACCGGCGCATGTCACGTTGTATTGACGGAAATGTCAGAGGGAGGGGGAGAGGAAGCGGGAGCCGGTAAGCGGACTTTTCACGAGTGAAGATATTATTGCGCCAAGTCGAAGTGCTCAAAAGCAATTGTTATGGTATTCCGCCATACAATATAGTCATCAATTTTAAACGCTTAGAAAAGCGCAACGGTTTATTTTGTGTCACCAGCCCAGGTCAAGTTACACTACTCGAGTAACTGTGTTTACATAGGGAAAACGTGGAAGTGTTTGGTCGCTTCTCTGCTTGGCCCATATTTAATGCATGGGCTAAGCTAAGTGCTAACATAGTTTTGCGGCAATACAGAGGGATATAGTGCACGCACTGAGACGAGAGAGGTATGTAACAACTCGTCTTAGTTAAGGGAATAACATAGTTTAATAATAAAAACTGGTGGAGTATCCCTTTAAGTTGAATTACTGAAATAAATTAACTTTTGCACGATATTCTAATTTTTCGAGTTTCACCTGTATAAGCAAGCCATGCATAGCTGGCTTTACCAAAAGAGTGTAAACACTAAAGATTTCAAAACATTGCTCTGTTTCTATTTGTATTCTGACCAGCCTGAGACAACCACACTGACTCAACCAAAGGAGTGAGTTTGGGGCGGGACAAACCATTTGCCAATCAATAGCAGATAGGGGAGAGTTTTGGGAATGGGAACCTTTATGACAAGTCATTCTGTTCAGTGACACTAGTGGTGTAGATACTAAACAATTCACCTTTAAAACTGGTCATTTGATTACCTGGACATAATAGACCCCTTTGTTGACAGCATACATCATTAGAAAGGAATAGTCCAAATTCTGCTTGGTCCTCCATCTACAAAGAAACACAAATACAATACATCATACATGTGTTCAAAAAGGGAGATACACAGTGCATGTCCAGTAGCCTGAAAGCCGAGGTTGAATGTGGGAGTTAGCCTGTGGTTGAGCCAGGAGTGAAACTCTAGATGGCAGGTGTATGACGAATGTGACTGACGGTTACAGGAACCAGAAACATACACACTGCAAAAGCTAAATAAGGGCAGTTTGAGGCTACAAGCAAAAACACATCACTCACATGTACTCAATATATAACCTTTGTTATTTATTCGTCCTTTGCAGTAAGGGGTTCAGAAAAGAGATTAAATAATCAAAAAGAATATTAAATATGATGTGCATCAAAGCAGCTCATTTCCTTTGATCAAACTGAATCAGATAAGTAGATGAGAGGAGAGATTGTGGTACAGAATAAAAACTCAAAATCACACACACACTTACAGTCACACACACGCGCATAGTTATGTCAGATGGTATCACTGGGAATGACTTTTAATGCAAGTTGGTTCACTAGGAAGCCTTCTTAGCAATGCCTTTCATAATCTAAAATAAACACTAAAACACCAAAACTAAATGGGAGTAAAAATGTTTTTGTTTTTTTAAGTCATTAAAACAGAGATAACTTTATTAGGAATTCCAACCTAATACATGAACTAAGCATGATAGGCTGACTTTGCTAATGAACAAAGTCAAAAAAAAAAGAAAAAAGTAATGATACTAACAGTAATGTAGAATGATTGGTAGCAAGTACAGACTTGATTCACTACCCAAGTGCAGCCTAACAGACCTGCTGTATTATTGGAAAATACACACCACTGTACAAAGGTCTCTTGTGCTCACCAAGACTGCATTTATTTGATCGGAAATACAGTAAAAACAGTATCGCCAAATATTATTACAATTTAAAATAACTGATTTCTATTTGAGTATATTTTAAAAATGTAATTTATTCCTGTGATAGCAAAACTAAATTTTCCGCATCATTACTCCAGTTGTCAGTGTCACATGATCCATCAGAATTCATTCTAATATGCTGATTGGGTGCTCAAGAAACATTTCGTATTATCAATGTTATTATTTTTGTGTAAACCGTCAGTGCTTGAAGTAAAAAAATAAATAAAGTGCTGTTACTCCCCTTCGGGGGCAACATGTTTAATCTGTCCTATACTAATTCCTTTTTTTGTTTTCTATTTAAAAAAATAAAATAACAACATGAATCTATCAATGTGCCACTTCTATAATACAAAAGATGACATCAAAAACCACAAATCCCTTTACTCTAAGTCTTTAAATGTCACAATCAACTGCTGGGCCATTATTTAGTAGAATGAGATACTGTAACTACATGATGTTTCTCTGTCTCCGTCATTCATTCTGATAAGCAGTGCATTGACTAATTGCTGTTTGCCACTGCACTGAAAACAAATATTTCCATGATTTGTTATCACAACTGTTCAAAAAGCATGTCATAAAAACAGCTTAAGTTCACAAATGTTGTTCAGATAACATAATATTTTGAGTTTCTGTTGAATAAACTAATCTCTTTGTATGAACTAAAATTTGAGTTCATTAAAATTTGAGTTCATTAAAATTTGAGTTCATTAAAATTTAGTTTAAATGAACTCAATTTTAAGGCAACCAGGTTAGGCTACTTCAACCCTCAGGGGACCAAAAACGCACCCGTGCGTTTTGCTTTTTTTTTTTTTTTAGCAATGCAAAATAAACTCAAACTGCTCTGTTAATTTTGTAATTTTGATCTTTCAGTTTCGTGTTATACATCAATCGATCCTGCTCAGTTTCTATTTTTTTTTCTGTATACTCACAATAAAAATAAAGTGTTTTGCTTTTTGCCAAATAAAGAAAAATGAACATGATGCGAGTTCTGCTCTCTCTCTGTCAGCGAACTCCAATTTGAAACGCGTTCGGAAATGATCTAACTCCACGAAAATTCAGTCAAACAGGCAAACATACCCACGGGCATAAAGCTTGAGATCGCATCTTTTAAATGAAGTAATTTATATTAAAAACAAATATTCTCAGCTTCTGTAATCTGTATGAAAATAGAGCGATTCCAGTCGAGCTGATGTACGATCTAATGAAAGTGCATATCTATACCATGAATTTAATATCTCGTACCATTTCAAAATTTCAAAATTTTTGTTTTTGTTTTTAGTGCATATGCTACGCACTGTAACCCTACCCCAGTTAGGAAATTTGTATGTGTAAATGATATGTTAAGATCATTATGTATGAAAGCTAGAACTTAGAAGTTATTTTAGAAAATAGGCCTAGATGTTTAGATTATATTTTGACTAGTTTAAATGCTGCCTCATTATCATTAACGATGCATGCTCGCATATATCAGTTGTAAATGTGTGTAAATGTGCTGAAATGTGTAAATATACCCAGTTAATGAATTGCGCAAATGTGTTTTGTTTGCGGTGTGCCTCTCCGGTAATGGCCCATTGACAGGCATATAGGCTTATTGCACGCGTCTAAAATTATTTACATCAGTTATTCATTATAGACTAATGCTACTATGGTTATATTTATGTAATAATATTCCTCAACTTATTTAAAAGTAATGTAGCTTCATCACTACCTCCGCCTGCAACTCGGAGTGTGCTTAGCAACACAGTCAGAAATCAGAAAAAGTACATATTTACCTACAATTTTACAGATGTTAGTTCAATTTGCCTGTATGACTTTATTATTTATTTTTGGAGATTGGTTGATGATGTTACATATGTTTTGTGTTATCAGCATTGCTAAATGTCCATCAGTTATGCATGTGCTGGAATAGTACTCTGTAAAATATATGATAATAATAGTTTTTAACTTTTTTTTAAAGGAATGTAGCTTGTTCACTCTCGCCTTCCACTGCAACGAGGACACGCAGCAACAAAAATCAAAAAGAGTAAGTACATATTTACCTACTATTTTACAGATGTTAGTTACATTTTGTTTATATACCAGTCCCTCCAGAAAAACGCGATTATGCGATCGCTGAATTCAATGCATAATCAGCCAAAGTCTGCATATTTATGCGGGGGTCGCATTTTTTCAAATACTCCGCAATTTCGCCGCATAAATTGCTGATTTCCGCGCAAAATATGCGGGGCTTGCATGATTTCATAATCCCCGCATTTTCGTCGCAAAAAAGTCACATATATCTTAGCAGAAAGTTGGAAAACGTTGCGTTTGCTTCACACAAGAGCAGCCGTTTCCCCCTGTTGCCATGGGAACGTTATGAAGTGACGCAATTACGCGACGTGAACATCATCGAAAAGCTGTAAAACAGGAGCACGCTTTATTTTTAAATATTTCATTTATTCATTTTTACTGAAGTTGTAGCATATTCCTCTAGTAAAGCTACAGAACTTGTTTGACTCATCAATGTTTTGTAAGTTTGATGTGTTTATTAAGGTCTTGTAACGCGTTGTGTCGGGAAGAAAAATAGGGATAGCTCACAGCTGAAGTTATTGCAGAGGCCAGACAGACTCACGGAGGCGATTGGCATCTCACAACTCGCACTTTATTCCCAAATCGAACTCGTATAACTGTCTGTCACACGTTCTACCGTCCACATCGTTACTTAATAAACAAAATAAGATAAAAGAAGTAGCATCAAACAGAAATTACCCGCACACATGGGGTGTTCGAGGCGCACATACAATATAATACTGCAGACAGTTCAACAGGGAGCGCGCAGCTCTTAAAGGGGCCACACCTTATTTCCACTCGTTACAGTCTGAAATAAAACAAGATGAGAAATTAAATATTTCCAGCACTTTCTGTGATGTAGTATGCTTGCTCATCATAGGAAGTAATAAGAAATGACTCTTTACATTAAGGTAGTAGCCTAGTGAGAACAGGGTGTTGGGTGAATCACTTTTTTTTTTCTCTTTTTCATCAAACCGCAGTTTTTGCAAGTTCCCGCAATTTTTGCAAGTTCCCGCAATTTTTGCAAGTTCCCGCAATTTCATCGCAAAAAAATTGCATAAACATCCCGCATATTCCATCGCATTTATAAAGAAAACGGGCCGCGTAATCAAGGATTTTTGCCCGCAACAATCACAAAAAAACTCCGCGTTTTAACTCTCGCCTTCCACTGCAACTCGCAGGACACGCAGCAATGGGAATCAAAAAGAGTAAGTACATATTTATCTACTATTTTTTACCTACTACTGTGGCTTTGCAAAATAATGTGTTATGCATGCACAATATTATAATTATTGATTAGTAATGTTAATATAAAAGAACATATATTTTTTTGTTTTATCAACATGCTGATTGCCCTGATAGCCCTGACATGCTGATAGTACTTTGATCAACCTTTATTAACCTTTATTAATATTATTATTTTTATAGGAATGTGGCAAATAGGGCCAAGACAAACATTCAGACGAGCAACAAGGAGCTGCCTTTACTTTTGTTTATTTTGCTCACATTTGATTTGCTTAGAGCCCGCATCAACGGGGCATAAGCATTTACTGTGAGATACCTGCCTTTACTTTTGTTTATTTATCGCTCACAATTGCTTTGTTTATAGCTGACTGATTATTTATTTATTTTACTCACATTTGATTTGCTTAGAGCAAATTTATAACATTGATATTAATTTTGATTTTATATTTTTGATAACATCTCATTAATATTGATAGGCCATTACCACTCCCACGCATAAACCTCTTCTGACAAAAAAACTGTTATACAAAGTATAAATTAATGTTTCGTTTTATGTGAACAGTTAGACAGGATGATTTTCACATCATTTTGAAGCCAGAACTCGAAGCGACAACATGATCATCCATTAATCAAAAGTCTTGTGGACACATATTTAGTATGTGTTTTGTGGTCTTATTTCAGCAACTTTCATTTTTTATTTTTTTCAATAACCACACATAAACATTATTCTCTTAAAAATACAAACATGTACATACATGTTGCTCACATATTATGGTAGCCCCGTTTGTGCTATATAGAGTGAATTTACACCTTTGCCATTAACATGTTTATAAATAACTGAAAAAAGCACAAATGTCAGTGCATGTCAAAACATCCCAAGGGCCCCAAAAACACCTTGGTCCCCAGAGGGTTAAAGGCAGGGTAGGCAAATTTTTTTGTTATGCTTGTTGAAAGTCTCTTCACATCCTGACATCCACTATGTTAAGTGGTCTAAATGTATTTATATGTACAGTACTGTGTCAAAGTCTTAGGCACATTAGTTTTCACACACAAAAATGGTTTTAAGCCAGTTATTTATATAATTTGCTGTAGTGTGTCAGTAGGAAATATCACTTTACATTTCCAAACATTCCTTTTGCCAATAATTGTAATAATACAGTTAGATTTGTGTATGCACAAGGAGTATGACAACAGCCGGTATGATCTGATCTCACCATCAGAGTCCATCTGTGATTACATGAAAAAACTGAGACAGACTAAATCCAGAGAAATGCGGCAATGTCTCCATAATATTTGAAGAAACAGCATTTATTTGAAATAGAAATATTTTGTAACATTATAAATGTCTTAACTGCCACTTTTGATAAATGTAATGCATCTTTGCGGAATAAAAATACTTTTTTTATATATATATATATATATATATATATATATATATATATATATATATATATAACCCCAAACTTAAACTGAAGTAACACTGAAACAAGTATTTTCTGTAAAGCTGCTTTGAAACAATATATATATATATATATATTGTTAAAACCGCTATAAAAATAAACTTGGGTTGAAAACTTTTGAACAGTAGTTTGGATAATATTGTTTGAAAAAGAGAAAAATCACATATTGCTTTCATTTTTTACTAATTAATTGCCATTTAGCTAAATAAATAATTAAAAACGTGTTTACTTGAAAAACTTATTTACTTAACTTAGAAATAGTCGAAGGCTACATAGCACTGATTTTATTTAATTTGCTATATTGCTATTTAATTTGAATAAAGCAGTGTTGAATAGCACATTCACTGCTATTGAATATTTCTGTGGTATTTAAATTGTTTTTTGAAAATAATAATATTCAGCATTGGCACAGAATATTTTTCACGAGGGAGCGCGATACCAAGAGATAGAAGAGGCAGTGAAAGAAAGAAAGAAAGAAAGAGATACCCAGAGTGATTGAGATTAAATTGAGACAGCTGTGGATGAAAGATTTAGGAAGAGCAGGAGATGAGAAGAGGAGTCATTTTAGGGTAGAGAGAGAAAGAGAAGAGGAAGGAGGGAGTGAAGGAGTTGATGTCTTTGACCTTGAGCTTCCTGTCTCACAACAAATCTGCAATCACTCTCTCTCTGTCTCTCTCTCTCTCTCTATTTGTGACAGTAAATAATCTCTGACTCTGGCACTGAAATATGAGATCCGGTCTAATCAAAACTTTATTTCACCCTCACCACAAAAACTGCCCACAATCTCTAATATGCACGCATAAATACTGTCACGTGCACCCGCCGCAGCAATGGCCGATGGGTTGCGCAACAAAACAACAGACCACAAACAATACACCTATGCACACCACCAGCCAAACATTTGTACACACTTGACTGAAATTATGCTTCTCTTGATCTTAAATTTTTATCTAAATGCTTAAAATTATATTTGTCGACAAATACAAATGACATCTTTTTGTAAAGACCAAAGATTGTCTTTGCATCTCAACTCGTGAAGGTTGTTGAGAGAATGGACAGATTGTGTAGAGAGAAAGAGTGATGACTTTGAGGAAGCTGAATTATGATAGTTTATATAAAGTACGTTCAAAATATGTTTACTATTTTGCTCGCTACACAATTCAAGTTATGCATAGGCATGTTTATTGAGGGGGGGGGGGGAACAACATGCATACTACTGTTCAAAAGATTTTTCTAAAGAAATTAAGGCCCAGATTTATTAAACAGGGAAAGGAGCACAATTCCACAAAAACACAGATGAGAGTGGAAAGTTCTGCTCGTGATCTACTGCAAATTAAAGAACACCAAGGCGGCCGGATCATCTCTATAATGACCAACACAATCTACCTACCAGTTAGCATCTGGTTTAAGACGTGCTTTTTTGGGGCGGTAAACAATGGTGTAAATAATAAATACGGTAAATAACAATAACGGTAAATACCAGGAAATTGACGAGCGTAAATCTTAGTAATTAAATCACCTTACGTGATTCATTTAAATGTTCTCCTCTCAGGCTCCCATAAATTTTGCGTCTGAAAGGGAAACTCCTACAAATGCATATGCAATAAGGTCAGCTGCAAAAAAATAACCCTGTCCATGCCTTTTCAGCGCTAATTCTTCACTGTGTGTCTTTAGTAAATCCTGCCAGTAATTTTTTTTGTGCAAAAGAGGGTTTGTGCTGGAGCAAGCTGTTAGTAAATCTGGCCCTAATAATTTTATTTAACAAGGATAGATTACATTGATAAAATGTGACATTTATTTATGTGACAGTTTTTTTTTTTTTTTTGCATTTCAAAAAAATGCTTTTCTTTGGAACTTTTTATTCATCAAAGAATCCTGAAAACAAATATATAATTTAATATAATATAATATTAGTTTCCCAAAAAATATGAAGCAGCCCAATCATCTTCAACACTAGTAATAAGAAATGTTTTTTCAGCATCAAATAAGCATATTAGAATGATTTCTGAAGGATCATGTGACACTGAAGACATGAGTAATGATGTTGAAAATTCAGCTTTGACATCACAAGAATACCGTATTTTCCGCACTATAAGGCGCACTTAAAAGCCTTTAATTTTCTCAAAAAACGACAGTGCGCCTTATAATGCGGAGCGCCTTATATATGGATGGTGAACAACACACGTTCACCAAGACGGGGAGACAGCGCCGGGCGACTTACGCCACTATCTGGCAATGGATCGTGGATGCCTGGGCTGATATATCAGTCTCAACTGTGATCCGAGCTTTCACGAAGGCAGGAATAATCTCTTTATTCAGCCAGCTCACATACCCGTATTTACTTCCTGTTTTCGGCCGAAGTCCACAGTAGTTGATTGTCGAGTTCGCGCGCGCGCGCGATCAAACCTCCTCCGTGTGTTCAACATCTGATTCAGATGAACTATCCGAACTATCCATTTGAGCTGATATTCTCAGAACACCACACAGCACCGTCATCGGCTGACAGCTGACAGTCTGAGTCTCCACTGTTGCTTAGTTACCAATGATCGCGCGCGCGCACTCGACAATCGCCTACTGTGGACTTCGACCGAAAACAGGAAGAAAATACGGGTATGTGAGCTGGCTGAATAAACATTTTTATTCATATCTTTCACGACATTTACTGGAGTCAGATTCACCGTGTTCACTCACATGGCTGTGCACTTGTAATGACACATTAAGGTTGTTAAGAGGCTAAAAGCAGGTTTAAAACTGGCCCCGTTTAAGTCAACAGGGTGCAACTTTTAAAAAGAGGATAACACGGTGTAGGCAACACCGGTTTTTGTCGTTGTTATCTGTACTGACAGCACTCAAAATTTACAAAAAATGACCTCAATGTTAAAATTGACCGGAGTTTTCCTTTAACGTTTGAACAACGTTACCATGGGAGTGAACGGAGAGTTGTCAGAAAGCTTAATAAAGTTTGACTTTATCTGACTTTTTTGTTGACATTTGTTGACATCTAGTGGATGCATAACGCAAACCCAGTCAAACGTTTGACTGCAGTATCTTATGCGCCTTATAATCCGGTGCGCCCTATATATGAAAAATGTTCTAAAATAGGTCATTCGTTGAAGGTGCGCCTTATAATCCGGTGCGCCGTATAGTGCGGAAAATACGGTAAATACTTTAAAATATATACAAATAGAAAACAGTTCTTTTCAATTGTAATGATATTTCACAATATTACTGTTTTTACTGTATTTTTGATCAAATAATAGAGGCCTTGTTGAGACTACTTTCAAAAACATTTAAAAAACTCCAAACTTTTGAATGATAGTGTATGTTGCAATTATCAGGTAATAAATAAGTCAATTGTATGTAATAAATTTAGCTAGATGTTAAAACTTACAGTATGCAACAAGAGAACTGTTAATTAAACTACCAGAAGTATGTACTTACTTTCTAAGTATCTGGTTACTGTAGGGGATAATTTTCCTGAATACTTACTTCACCCTCTCCTTCGAGTCACCAAAGGTCTCTTTCAAGTTGTTGAAGTCTGGATAGTAGCTGGCCGGGGGAGAAATGACCTCCAGTAACCCAGAATTCAGTTCAGTGTAGAACCTTATAGACAACGATAGGCAAGAACAACGGTTAACAAGGTATCTTAACCATTAGGTTAAATGTACAATTTAGATCATTATCATGTAAAACAAAACTTGAGGAAGTGGGAAAATAAAATGTCACTTACTCTTTTTCAAGGCCTGCAACCACACTGTTTACATAATCTACGTCCGTCTGTGAGGAAGCGAACAAAGAACAGGTCAGCACACACACACACACGCGCGCGCAAGCAAAGGCTCGGCACAAATACAAGTGGAGTAGCAACTAGAAGTAAATACAACGGCAGTGCCTGACAGCCTGGAAAAATACGAGAGTTGGAGTGACTGCTCTGGGATGTTTGTTATCTCGGTGGGGAGGATGAATTGTCTTTTCTAACTGATTTTGTTCAGCCTACACCATGTGTGGGAGTGAGTAAAACTCCAGCGAATGATGTGGGAAGGGATATCCTCTCTCTCTCTCACACACACACACACACACACATGTGCTAGGATAACACAAGAGCCTCATTAAGGGTTTTTTGCAGATGCACTGCCACTGGGTGTTCCCTCTTAACTAAAGCACTCCGAACTAATGACTACCATTGTTCCAGACAGCCACAAGAACAGCTGATGACAGATCACACAAAGACCATCAGCTACCAGATCTAACCACAGACACTGAGGCGGGTACATACCATACAAGCACTGGACGAAAAACTGGAGGAATATAACTGACTTTATTACACAGAGACAGGCAATGCATCGAAACACTGTAAAAGGTTCCAACTAACGATTAATCCAATAATTTGTTTTCTCTTCTTCTGGTTGCCTTTTTTCCAATACTGTAGATAAGCAAATGTACATGCCATGTTATGATAACCATCAAATTTCCTACCATGATATACAGTAAGACTGGTATACCTCTGCAACCCTAACATAAACAGTGCAACTCAAAGCACTCCACACAAATCAATGTTGACGATTACATCAACGTGTCTTTTTGTCCAGTGTACAAGAGGATGTTTCTAGAAAAGCCCACTGCAACACAGTAACTACCTTCTCTGATTATAATTATCTAATGTAGACAAATGTAAACTTATGAATGATTACAAAAGAAAAAACTGCCTCTTTTTACATAAAATCAAGTTTGTATCAGTAACAAACACTAGTAATTGGCATTTTTATTGGAAACCACCAAAATGTTTACATTTTATTATATAATATGTAAGGTCATGTCTTTAATTAGATCAATTATATGTTGATGTTTTTGACAGAAGTTGTGAAACAGTTGTGCTGCTTAATATTTTTGTGGAAACCATGGCACATTTTCTTTTTCAGGATTCTTTGAAGAATAGAAAGTTCAAAAGAGCAGCAAATATTTGAAATAGAAAGCTTATGTAACATTATAAATGTCTTAACTGTCATTTTTAATCAATCAATCTTAATTAAAAAGATATGATTTTTTTGAAAAATCTATGTAGGTAAATAGTCCTGGCAACCATAAGCTCCGATCCAAGCACGTACGAAAAAACACAAGATATGCTCCATTCATTTTAACCCCCCAAAAAATGCAATAAATGATTGCAGCTTTCAGACACATGACTTTCTTCTCATTTTTATAGTTCATTCGAGGACATTCCTATGGCGTTATTTTAATGACAAATGTCTAGTGCACAACATCCATGTAACAAATTTTGTGAACCGCTACTGATCATCAAGTAGTATAGATATCAGAGAGAGCGTGACTTGCGACAACACTCATGGATAGAATGTGCTTTTGTTTGGTTGGTAATGTATTTGCAATTTGTGCTTTTAATAACTTGTTTAATAAGACACAAATAACTTGTGTGTAATTCATTCATCAAGCGCACCATCGAACGGAAAAAAACGACAGTAGCATACTCTTGAAAAACTAACAGTAGGCTATAATTAATGAATGAGTAATGAGAATATTAAAATGTTTTAAGGGGCATTTGTTGCGTATGTGTATAATTAGCCCAGTTATCATTTGCTCGTGGAAACAGATGTGATTAAAAATGTGTTTTATATTTGGTTGGGAATGTATTTGCACGTGTGGGATGTGGGCACCCACTGGCAGAAAAATATATCGCCGCCTATGCTGGCAACAATGTCTGTTTGGCTGATATGACCACCCAATCAATTTCAGAACAAATATTGAGATATATATTAAGTACAATCAAAAAAGCTACAAATATAGAGAAATAATTAAACAATATCACTATGCTTTCTCTACTTTTAGACTTACTAAATTCATGAACAATTTTTCCCTACCACTGTGTTCAGACGTACAACAACATTGTGGCAACAGATGAAGAGAGACAAATCCTGCCGGGCATGTCTGCATGTCTACTCCTCTTACTCTGCCCTTCTGACAGCATCATAAAAGCATCAAGACCCATGTTCTCAGTGTGTACCGCCCACACCCCTCCACGGGTGGTAACAAGACAACAAACAAACTGTTGACCCAATTTAACCATTCACAAAGGTGATGATGGTCTCAGAATCCAGATCTCACATTGAACATCAAGTGGAGATGCAACACAAACCTATTAAAACTGAACAAAAGTAAACCAAATGTTTAATGCTTTTTCCCCAGTTGTCACTAACCCATCAGAACATTGTTGTTTGCATGGTGAGCATGGCTTGGCATTTGATTTAGAACTACTTATAAATCTTCACACACACAGGAAGACAAAGCAAGCCACAATGCTCTCACACAAACATACCTTCTCAAACCGTGAGAATGCTCACCTCTCCCACGAACACTATGATGACGCAGTCGAGCTTCTCCTCCGCCGAGAGTTTATCGATGAGTGAATGAAGCGTCTCTGACAGGTATGACTTTACTTTCCGCTTCACCGTGGGGATGCCCATCACCATGGAAACTGCATAGAAAAGAGAACAAAAACTCAATTCGAGGATCATAAACCCAATTCACAAGCACATCATGCACTCACGCAGAGGGGGTTTCCACTGTGGCATAAGAGTGAAGTCCACATATGGAGGCAAACATTACTCTGCTCTATTGTACTGCATCTCAGAGCAACATAAAGGAGATTCTGACTCCTGATACAGTCAGAGAATAAAGACCCCAATATACTTAAAGCAAAAATCAACAAAGGATCTTGTGTGACCAGGCAAAAACAAAGTTTGTTTTAGGAGACAGAAACAGTTTGCCAAAGCGAATTTTAAAGTTTGGTCTGGCTGGCATACACCTTCGAACTAACTCTTGGACGTGGAAATGTTCTACAGGTTCATTTCTTTTGTTCAGTCCGTCGAGGTCAGAATTCGTTCCCATGCCTTATGGTCACATTTGATTAATTTGTTCCACACATTTTTGTTAAATCATGGCCATGGATTAACTTAAGCGAGGGAACAAATTCTTAATTTGTGGCCACGATAATATATTTTTTTCCACCCCACGTCATGTGTGGTGCTCTGTGTACATTCCATAAAAAGAAGAGTTTTTTTTTTTGTAAATAAAACAATTAAAACAAAATAAATGTTTTTTTTTTATTGTATTTTTTTTTTTTTTTTTTTTTTTTTACGTATTTTCTTTAATTACAAACCACAAAAATAAATAAATCTGGAGTTTTTTTAAACAGTAAACCTGGTTTTTGATTAGGAAAAAAAAAAAACATATCAGTGATTTACATGCTTACCCGGAAAAAAATTAAGCACAGAGACACAATGTCAGCAACAGACGGGCACTTTTCATTCGAGTGCTGAGGTTGAGCTGCTGTGTGTGTGTGTGTGTGTGTGTGTAAGCGGATTTGAGTGACAGACTGACAGAAGCTCTGTCACACTTCATCAGCACCAAACAGAAGACAGTAAAATATGTCCCCGTTTTGCACTGCTTCCCACTGGAAGGCAGAAAAGAGTGTTTTGAGAGAAAACACCACGTGGTGAAAGAGTAAAGTAGGTTGAGGATGAAAGAGAGACAAAAAGAGAGAGAGAGCACATGAGGGAGAGGAAGCTAATCAGACAGAGATAAAGCACCTGAGACACCAAGAAAGAAAAAAAATGAAAGAAGAGCATTTTGTAGGGAAAAAAAGAAGCATGTTTTTAAGTTAATGTGCATTCAACACAAGTCATCCTCTCCTACGCCACATCTTGTCTTTCACAAAAGTAGCGTTTGGCCTTCAGGCACTCGGTTACATAAAGAGATGCTGAGCTGCACCTTTCTCCAAGAATGCTCTTTCTTCTCTCTCTCTCTCTTCAGCAGCGGTATGAAGTCTTTATGCTTCTCTTTGAGACAAACACTCGACGTGCCTTGAGACTAAACTATGGCAAATTATATCCAGACGGTCTCTAGGGATGTTACAGTGACTTACTGAGGAGAAAACAAGTGTTTGAGACATTTTCTAATAGGAGCGTCTCTCAAACAATCCTCTCAAACTTGTCAGACCACTCTTTTTCATTGTGTATATAAAGAGTTTTCAACCTTTGTAGGTTCATAGACCCTCCATTCAGACTCTTCGCTAACACAGCGACCCCCCCCCCCCCCCCCAAAAAAATATATATAATTAATGATTGATGATAACTTTCATTACAAAAATTAACAGCATTACATCACATATTGAATGGCATGAAGCTCATTCATAAGATGTTTTTAGTTCTGATTTAAAATTCATTTTTATATTCATTTAGGGGCATAAAGAAAAAAATATCAGTATGATACAACTGTCCTGATATCATAATGATAAAGAAAAAAAAAACTAATTACAAGGATAAAACTTTTGAAATTAAAACCTTGAGGAGTTTGACATATTCCTTATAATTATTATTTAAAAAAACATTAATATAACAGCTTCATTGGTTATTTGAAAAAGTTTGTCTGTCAAATTAAAGTCATGCGGCGTGACCAAAAAAAACATGTGGTGTAACAAACAAAAAAATGTGTCAATGTCAGGAAGTCTCTAACAATTTGACCTTTTTATAAGGAGACACGGTTGGTTGTAATAAGTTGGTTTTGACATGCACTGACATTTGTGCTTTTTTCAGTTATTTATAAACATGTTAATGGCAAAGGTGTAAATTCACTCTATATAGCACAAACGGGGCTACCATAATATGTGAGCAACATGTATGTACATGTTTGTATTTTTAAGAGAATAATGTTTATGTGTGGTTATTGAAAAAACTAAAAATTAAAGTTTCTGAAATAAAGCCACAAAACACATACTAAATATGTGTCCACAAGACTTTTGACTAATGGAAGTTGTGGCCTAGAGTTTTTGCTTCAAAATGATCTGAAAATCATCCTGCCTAATCATTTACGTAACACAATAGATTCTTTTAAATTGTGAAAAACATTTTTTGTTAGCCAAGGCCAGTGTTGTTTTTGGCAGCCCTTTTAGTTTTAGTCTTAGTTTTAGTCTTTTGGACGAAAATGGTTTTTAGTTTTAGTCACATTTTAGTCACTTAAAAACTTCATAGTTTTAGTCAAGTTTTAGTCGACGAAAACAAAAAAAGGTTTTAGTCAAGTTTTAGTCGCCGAAAACGCAAAAAGGTTTTAATCAAGTTTTAGTCAATTTTAATAAAAAAAAATAATAGTCTTTAAAAAATAGAGAAAATAAAATGCGGCTGTGTCAAAATTGGTATCAAGTTCAAAAATAGAAAAGAAATAAAAGTGCCACTTTTCAATCTGTTAAAAAAAGAAAAGAATAGAAATCCATTTGGCTATTCTATTTATCTATTTAATCTATTTATCCCTGCATTAGTGGCTGCAATGAGCCTGTTTTGAATTGCACAATTTCTCAAAAGTCATGCTCAATGTTCAGCTGAGATCTGTACTTTGTTTTCAGTGAAACTGAAACAGCTGAAAAGCCCATCTCACCTAGAGATATGATGTGGCAAAGGGAAGAAGAATGCACACAGCTTTCTGCCTTTAGCCTACTTAAAAACGTGATATATAGGCCTATATATTTTTTAAATAGATAAAATAGACATAACATACTGTGTTTGATATGGGATTAAAATGATGGGTAGTGTATGGGCAGTGTATAAGATATAAACTAAAGATTAATTAGGCTACTTTAATATTCCTTTGTTCCGATCAGAGCATGTGAGCGGAGAGCGCATTTCTGAATATCCCTCCGCTCGCTCATTCAGCTCAGGGTCGCGCGCTCAACACAGAATGGCCTGCTGGTTCGAGAATATGTGGAATAAGAGCTGCCTCCGACTAAAGTTTTTATTCTAGTCGACTAGTAGTTGTTCATTTAAGCCATTAGTGGACAAATCCCCCCTCTATATTAATTTAATTACTTATATTGAGCTTTATAGCCGCACTCAAGCGCACGACCGCACGCATAAAGCTTGCCACAAAGAACCGGCAAAAGTAATGATTATGAATGTGTAAAAAAATAGCAAGGAGACATTTAATTGTTTATTAATAAACTGGGGTTTTCGGTGTCGCTGCAAAGATGAATTTGACGATGCGGACTCGCCATGAACGAATAAAGATAAAAAGGCATAAAACGGAAAATTTCCTCCCGTTTTGGAGGAGACCCGTCACGCCAGAGGGGCGCGCCCCACACTTGAGAACCGCTGGATTATACTGAAACTGAAAGTATGTCCATAAATCATCTCGTCGTTTCCGACCACCAAGCCCGTTTATTGGCTTCGCCGCCATGGTCCTTCGAAGATGTGTGGTGAGTGACTAGCCGCAGCCGCAGGTGTGTTGTTGTGTGAATCTGGTGCGCGCGCGGCATGCGTACCCAAAACAATGATAGGAAGCGGCAGCATTGCTGATACTTTTTTAGCTCAAAACAGGCAGATTTCACGCAAAATAGGCAGAAATGACATGCATTGCGAACGTCAGACTTATAGTCATTATCGTTCCGTCTCGTCTTGTCAACGAAAACTCGAAAACGTCTCGTCATGTTTTAGTCACCTTAGGAGCCATTTTTAGCTAGTCATCGTCGCGTTATCGTCATAAAAAAAAGTGCGTCAACGAAATCATTTCGTTATCGTCATCGTTGACGAAAACAACATTGGCCAAGGCAATATGCGAATGGGCGTGAACGGCCCAACCCCATTGTGAATAATTAGGTGGTTCACCTGAGAAGACAAAGACCCGCATAATAATGAGCCTTTCATTTAGGTGTGTCACACAAGAAAGAATGCAAGGACAATATACTGTATATATATATACACATATACACACACACTAGGGATGCGCGGTATACCGGTACTGCAAAAATACCGGTATATATTATATTTCAAACGGTACAATATCATCATTTTGTTCAATTCGGTATTTGATGCGCTGCTGTTTCGAAGTTCACCGCTAGGCGGCAGGGCGCTACGTAAACTGACGCGGGTCATGCGAAACCGGCAAACGGTGACAACAGAGGAACACGATGGATCAAACGAAGCTCATTCGAATTTCTACACGCCCGAAATTAATAAATAGAGAGAGCAGTATAAGTGAAATAAGGCATTACTTTGCCAACAAAAGTAATGAGAAAAGTAAAGAAACAGATCTCAATTCACCACTCTGCAAACGGGGAGGCAATGAACACATCAAATCTGCCGAAGCACTTGTCAGTTGCTCATCTTGACTTGTTCAAAGAGTTCAGAGATCGACAGGTTAGTCCATCATTCAACTGATTTAATTTAGACTTTTATTGAACATTGAACAGTGCACATACATAAGAGCTTATCAATTATATATGATACGGTAAACACGAAAGCTCAAATCTGATTGCATGACACGCTAGAAACAATTAAGATTAGGTTTCATCATTTTTGCACTTTCAAACAAACATATATTAATTGAATTTGAATGAATAAAGAATAAAAATGTGAATAATATTAATTTTAGTATTAGTGATAGTAAAATGAATGGCATATTAGTGCCGCTGTGGTGACCCCTAGAGCA